CTGCATTTCCTTGCTTTTCTGGATTTAAATCGGGTACACCTTCACGGTGCTGAAAGAGATTTGGCCACACAACTGCCATTGGCATTAATGGGAATTGTGTGACTAAAGCTCTGCACATATTCAGTGGTCTGTATATAGTCTCCTCTCCTAGCTATTTATGGGTATATTGCTCATCACAGCTCAAAGAATAATTATATGAACAACCAGTATCATGGCTGGCTTTTTATGTGTAGGTTCATCCTTTACCAGTTTCCTGTGACAGATATTTTTCCAAGAGACTACAAAAGAATAGTCGGTTCCTGTTCTTTCCCCTCTATTTATTTTTGTCCCTTAGTTAGAAATATTCAGGGTGAGGGGTGTGTGTGTGTGTGTGTGTGTTTAATAGCATTCATTCCCTAGAGAATAATCTCAGTCCTTGTTTTAGCTGGCCTCCTTCTGAGAGTGTGTTAAATCTGTAGCCAGGATCACAAGCAGCTCTGGGCAAATCACTGGGCTGTTATTAACCTGCCTCCATGGCAACTTCTGCTCACAAGCCTGAGGACAAAAAATGTTTTTATTCTGCTGAGCTGCACAAAAGATTCTAGTGATGTTTTAGACAAAATGGCCATTGAAAGCCAGATGCATTGATGTGTATTTGTAATGCATGGTTTATATTTAAACTGTTTTACACTGCTGATTTGCTGGGGTGTATAGAGTGCTAAAAATTGCATGGTATTATCTGCGTGCAAAGTGAAGACAGAGCAGAATTTGTGCCAAATAGATTTTTTATTAAAAAGTTTTTAATAAACTTCCCAAATGATACTAAATACTACAACATTGTTTACAGGATACGCAGCTTCAGCAGCAGAATCTGTTATCAACTTACTCTGCTTATTTCATATTTATTTATAAAGTTTCCACTGCTTTTCAGTTGTATGGTAACTTGCTGCCTACTGATTCAGAAATATAGCAGAGCACAAGGCAAACTGCATCTAGAAAGTTTAAATTCTCCAGGCCAGATTCTCAGCTGCCTTAACCTGATTATAGTTCAGTAGACCAGCTGAAGTTCTGGACCTCCGTGTTTAATGGAAATATACTCCCAATACTAGGCTAGAAAGTTTGGTAAGAAAAAAATCCTTAATTTTGTCTGAACTAATAGTAGTACAGTAAAAGCTTTGTTATCCGGCATGTTGGGGGAATGGGGGGTGCCGGTTAGTCAAAAATTCCAGTTAACTAAGAGTTACATTAACCAATGGAATACCAATTTTCAAAGAATTAGAATACAATACAATAAATAAAGTATAAAATAGTATACAGGGACTCACCAATCCAGTAGTAGCACTGCACTGCAGAATAGTTGGTTTCTTGAAGCACTTAGGTGTATACAGGTAAAATTTTCTATACAGTAGTTTTTTATGACACTACATATCACTATGGGCAGCACATGGCATACACCAGTTCACTAAAAATACACTTAACGCTAAAGAGATACTGAACATAATTTAACCCTTCTTTGATTCCGAAGGCACTTCAGGATCTTGCGGTGCCTCAGGGTCATCATTATCAACATCAGTTATCACTGTAGATGTAGAAGGTGTAGGAGATTGGGCTGATCTCCTGTACTAACCCTATGACACACCCTGGAACCTGCTTTTTTGAATAAATCCCTGATATCAGCTTGCTTACTTGTCTTCTGCCTCTTTTGCATAAAAGTAGAGTGCAGAATGTGCAATTGCGTAACCCCCTGGGCAGTATACTCGTCCCAGTTACTAGACTGAAGATTTGTACTGGGAGATATCGGAAATGCCAGTTAATAGAGCTTTCTGGTTGATAAAGTGATGGAGAACGCAGCTTTTACTGTAACTGGTTTTGAAAGGCTTCTCCAAGTTGTATTTTGGTAGTCAAGGGTGTAAAAAACAAAATAGAAAAAAACCTCATACTGTCAGATTTCATTGATGTGAATGTAGGGTCTCCAAAAAGTACATTCTTTGTGTGTTACGGCAACACTGCAAACATTCTTTAACTGGGTCATATTAAAATGAGGATTTGGCGCGGTCTGGCAGTCTAACGCCTCAAACAGGTGGTGTGTATTCTGCAAAGCTGATACCCTTTGATAGGAACAGCTGTGTATAAACTCCATTGTAAAAGTTGTTGACTGAACATGTGTGTACAGGCGCGCATACTGCCATGTCTAGCATGGAAATATGCCATTGACAGTATTTCCTTGTTTAAAGCTAGGGCTGGAGGTGTCTGTTTGCCCAAGGACCAAGGAGAGTATGTATCCCAGTTATCCAATTGGCCTAGAGTTAAAGGGTTGGTGGTTGCTGGGGCTCTGTTTTGTCTAATGTCTGGCTCGAAATGGCACTGTAGCTTTACAGACTTGATCAAGTGGGATCTTGGCAGTGATCTGCCCTTGACATGGTGAAGGCCACCAGAAGGACGGTGCTGCCTTTTCTCTTGTGGAGTAGAGTGCTGTAGGAGGCCTGAGCCATAAACACTGTTGTCTACTGTAAACAAGAATTTGAAAGCTTTGGGGCATCCACTGCTGGCAGTTTGAATACAAGGGGCTGTTGATGAAATGGTGTGATCTGCCTGAATGAGCGATCAAAAGAGATCACCCCTCAAGTCCAGTGTATTTATTACTGTGTGGCAAACTAGGCTGCACAGCATGGGGTGCCCAGTCTACTGGAATGACCTAGATTTGGGAGTAACCTTTAGCCCAGGTTCTATGTGGATTTAAGGGTTTTGCCAAGTTATTCTTCAGAACTATTTGCCTTTTGACCCACAGAGCAGCTTTGATGTTGACTCTGAAGGAGGCCAGACATCCTACCCTCCAGCATGAAAGAAGATTTTATAATAGCAACAGGTTAAGAGGAGAAATCAGACTTATGCAGAGCTAGAATGATAAAATGAGAGGGGCTGCGGTGCCTGGGTTCTGCAATTAAACACCCAAGAATGCTGTTTGGACAATGAAAAGGACTTGCTTTGCAAATTTGCCATATCACCCTGCAAGATCTGTCATTCTGAAGTTTGCTTTAGCTTTGGACCTCAGTGATATGAGATGTAGTGTGGTTGTTATGTTTCAGAGTAGCAGCCATGTTAGTCTGTATCCTCAAAAAGAAAAGGCGGACTTGTGGCACCTTAGAGACTAACAAATTTATTTGAGCATAAGCTTTCACAAAAGCTTATGCTCAGATAAACTTGTTAGTCTCTAAGGTGCCACAAGTCCGCCTTTTCTTTTTGTGGTTGTTATATTTCTTCCCGTTGAGCTTTCTTTATGCTTCCTTTCCTTCCCGCCATCCCATCAGGCTAAGCAGTACATCAAGCTGTCTGTATTCGTTTTGTGGCATTCGAAGCACGAAGAGAGTTCCTTACTGAATGGATTCCAGCTGTGGACTTGACTGTAAAAGCTTCCCCAGCTGGCTTCTATATAATTAAATCTTGTATGCATTTACTGAAGTGGCATTTCATAAGACATCTAAGTAGCAATAGATGTTTAAGCATGACAGGGGCATTTGGTAAGAGATCTTTAAAACAAAGAGTCTTACATTGATAAAACGATTAGAGGGTTTTCTGTCATTGTACGCACATTATTTCCTAATGCCCCCTGGACGAGCCTGTTGCAAAACTCATTTGTTACTTGGAAGATTGGGATGTTAGGAAAAAAAACCCTACTTTCTTTAGTAGGCCTAGATCTGCTGATCTTTTCTTGGAGTTTGAGACAGAAGTAATGATGTAGGCACCACCCAATTGTCTCCATAAATTTTAAATGGTTAATGATTCATTTTGTACCATATATTGGAAGAAACAGGCTGTTTCTGTTACATTCAACACTGGTAGTTCCATTGAGTAATATCCTAATGGTTTATACTTTGCACAATTGTATGAAACATACACTAATGATGAATGCTTAGCCAGTGTAATGCTCTCACCCTGAAGCAATGAAGCAATGGACTGGTATAGATTGCCATTACCATTATAACACACATAGCTCTGTTTGTTTCCAATTCACATTACTCAGTCTTGCAAGCAAATGGATTTTCAGGCAGTGCCATCAGGAGGAATCCGATAGTTGCAACTGCATTTACCTTATCACAATGTCTCTGATCCTGAGTTGGTATAACTGTAGCCTTCATCCAGCTGAGACAGAACATCCAGTATTTTTCTTTTAAATTGGAGACAAAACTATGCTTTCTGAATAGTACAGTTTAGACCTCAATATTCCTTTTGAAAAGGAAACGTCAGTCTTAATTTATTTGCCAAACATTCACTTTAATATTTCCTCTTTCTATTTAAATATATATTTTGTCCTTTTAAAACTGATTCTCTTATTCCAAATATTCTCCTTTTTGCCACTTCTCAGCCCCATTGGCTTTTAGGTAGCTAAACTGGTTTATAAAATAGTTTTTATATCATTTTGTTTTTAGGACATATATTAACCTTTCATAAAAACACAGTCCTTAGACAAAATGTGCAGTAGCTGGATTTTGAAGACCATGAAGCATTGAACTCCTTCATTCAGTAGAAGTATAAAATACATTTTCATCTTTCCCAAATGCTTCCCCATGTTGTGTGTTCACTTCCTTGACATGCTTAAAGAGCATGGCAGTAGTGTAACTGACGCCTCCTATTGTTGTTACAAATAGTTTTTAAATGCAGTGTATTATCTGAGAGCAGTCATATCAGAGGGACTCACTTAGCTAAATGGATTTTTGTTTTTCGGTTGATGCTCTAACTCATCAATGACCTCTTCTTGATCTTGCAAAGACATGAGAATTCAACCCATTTCCACTTGTGTGTTTTGAGTTCACACAGACAAAGCTGAAGGTCATTGCTCTAGAGCAGGAATTGTCGTCATCTTGCATCATCTGTTAGCTTTCCACATATCACTTTGCCAATTTTTTTTTTTTAAATTTGAGCCAGCCCCCACTGGTTGTACTAAATGAAAAGTGAATGTTCTTCTCCTCATAATTTGCTGTTGTGCTTAATAATGTTTCCTTTGTTTCATCTTTTCTGCTTAGGTTGCTTTGAATGTTGCATTAAGTGCCTGGGAGGAGTTCCATATGCTTCACTTGTGGCAACCATTCTCTGCTTTTCTGGGGTAGCATTGTTTTGTGGCTGTGGTCATGTGGCTCTCACTGGAACCGTATCTATCCTTGAACAACACTTCTCCACAAACTCCAGTGACCATGCTTTGCTGAGTGAAGTGTAAGTATGCACCTCTTCCATTACTTCATGGAAGAATTCCAGCAAAACACCGCATAAACAAACACAACTGAAATTAGAGATGGATCCAAACGCAAATGCCAAACTCAGAGGCTTAGGCTCTTTTCTCTAAATAATATACACACAGGGCAAAATGTCTAGTGTTATCGCTTCCATGCACAAAGATTCAGCATATAATTTCAGCCTGAATGACTTCTTTTGTTAGACAAAACAGGAAGAACAGGTGAAAAGTCCTAATGAGAGCACAGTTTGTCTCCTCTGTAACAGCTGGATCTGAATCAAATACAAAATGTCAGCTGTTTCCAGCTGATGGGAGGGCCCTAAAAATGTAAAGGACCAGAATGTTAGAAAACCAAATCATCACTGGTGCAGAGCTATGTGCATCATCTCTAGTAACTGATTATGGGGAAGGCAAATTGTATGCAAACAAGAGTGACACTCACTCCTGTGAAGTGAGTCAGCCAGCTGTGCTGGGACACCTTTGATGCTCTCTTTCATTCTGCACATGCTATAGAGCTGCACCAGTCAGAGGCACAGTGCAGGACTGAGCCATGTAGAATTTCAACTACACGAGCAATGCTCCAAGACCCATGATCAATAATAGGGCAGGAGCAGACTGTGAGGCGGGAAGTGCACTACTGTGCTCAGAATGCCCAAGAGCTTTGATTTGGGGCTGGAGAATCCTACTAGCAGTGGGATCATGTCCTGTGTTTCCTGGGCTAGCAAGGGATGGGAGCACTTCATACTCAGCTGTTGGAAGTGGGCAGGAAGAGCCCTTGTAACTATGCTTAGCTGCCCTCTTCTGCCAAGCCATTTCTTCTAGCCCACAGCACGAGGCCATTGGTGTAGGGGGATTAAGAGGTGTGTTGGGTAGGATCCTGGTATGCTCCCCTGGTCATTTTTTACTTTAGGGCACATGGACTCTCGAAATTTCCCTGTCGTCTTTCCCCCTCTTCTTGACAGCTCTGCCTGTACTTCATTTTATGAGCTACTTCTGGATCCCATTTATCGAGAAATAAAGCTTTTCTCCTCCAATCTTGTTCACCCAGCCCTTGATTGTCTGGTGACCATTTACCCTAGGTCAGGAGCTTATCTAATAGTATCTAAAAACCCTTTGACAAGGTGCTAGTATTCTATGCATGCTATATACATGTATCCGCATTTGGTCCACGATCCACAGATTTGCAGGGCTCTACAAATGCAGCAGAACCATAGCTTGTATGGCAATGGCATGTAGCATCACTAGCTGAGCTTCAGCAACCGAGAGTGTAACAAAGCCGTATGTGCAAAGTAATGGGGTTCATTTGTTTAACTGAGGAGGAAATTCAAACGATAGGGAGCAAGCTTTGCAAGAACTCTTGATAGCAGCACATGGGAGAGAGCTGTTGTGACCAAGTACCTATCATCAACCCAACATCAGCAACCATGGTTACAGTGGCACTGTATCAGGGAAATGAGCAATTGGTACTTGAATTACTATGGACGCAGGCTGTGTGGAAGCCTAAGGAGAAATGCCAAGAGTTAATGGAAATAGATAAATTTAGTTGGAGGGGTTTAAAATTACCTGCAGATATTTTTTAGTAGGTTAGTACTTCTGGCTTGTATTTTTAATCATACTTGATATTCTTGTACCTTTGCTATGAAACTATGGACTCACTCCTGCACTGAAGGGTTTGTTAATTTTAACAGCGATGCTCATATGCATGTTTTCAGGAAAATATCACATCATTTTCATGCACTGTAAAATATGTATGTAGATGTATTTGGGTAGGGGGTGTAAGAAAGGTGTGAATTTTGGAGCTGATGATGCTGTCTCCTTACAGGCAACATGGCCCTTAGGAGTGAGCACAGAGCTAGGTGGCCAGAATATCCTAATTCTCTTCAAGCCTTTGCCACTTCAAGCATTTTGCTCCTACATATATACCAAAGCGCAAACATTTAGTTAAGGGTCACAACGCTCTATGAAGTATAGAAATATCTCCATTTTGCAGGCATGGAACTGAGGCTCAAAGATCATGACTATCCTAAAGTCATACACCCAGTCAGTGTAAGAAGCAAGATTAAAACCCAAATCTCTTGACTCCCAGGCAGGCCCTAGACCGTTGTCCCTCTGGTGCACATCAGTTTCCCATGTCAGTTTCCACATCTGTAAAATGAGCATCGCAAGGCTGGGTCACACACCCCTGACCCAATTCTTTAAACAGATCCACAATATTTGAATAGATATTTGGCAGAATGAATTTGCTCATCCTTAATATAATCAGGTAAGACTGCTTTGGTTTAATGTGACTTCAAGTCTGACTAACTTATTTCCTCTTCCATTTTAGCATACAGCTAATGCAGTATGTAATCTATGGCATTGCATCATTTTTTTTCTTATATGGAATAATCCTTTTGGCGGAAGGCTTTTATACAACAAGTGCTGTGAAGGAGCTACATGGTGAGTTCAAAACAACAGCCTGTGGCCGATGCATCAGTGGAATGGTGAGTACAGTACTGCTGCCATCACCCTGCTATCCAAAGTAAGAATAGTAACTGCCTTTAATATTTTCTTCACATTAGCGAAGATCTTTGATCTGGCTGTTTGACTCTTATGCTGTTGCACCACAATGTTTTTGCCCAGTTAAACTTTTCATACCCCACAAAGAGAGAAGTACTCAGAATTGTGCACTGAGACCCATCTTCTCTTTGCACTTTGGGAAAGCTCAGAGGGATCCAAACTTTGCAGAATGAGCTATTTAGGTATTTACGTGTTCTAAACTCAACTTCATGGTTGTAGATTGTACATTTTGTAATGCTCAACCCAGGTGATGAGTAAATTTGGGCCTTAAACAGTCGTGATACTTGGAGTTGGCATTAGAGCAGTAGTCTCCAGACTGTGGGGTGTGCTTCCCTAGGGGGGCACGGAAGAATGTTCAGGGACATACAGGGGGGCCTGCCCTCATGTGGGGTAGGGAGGGAGCGCCACCCCACTCTGCCCTCAGCCCCAGCTGCAGCTTTGGATCGCAGCTCCAGCCTCGGCTCCCTGCACTGGCCCTGGCTCTAGCTCCACTCCTGGCTGCAGCCCTGCTCCCAGGGGGCCTGGACAGGTTCCTTTACAGGTAAGGAGGAGCACAACAGAAGAAGTTTAGGAACTACGGCATTAGAGACTTAGAGTAAGGACTACAAAACTCTTTGAGAGTAGTTTATGCAGGATTATTTTAAAAAATAGTAAATCTTTAAATTTCTATAGCGCATTCCACCTGAGGGCCACAAAGTCCTTCAAATATCAACGAATCAAGCTTCACAACACCCTTGGAAGCTAGACAAGTATTACTGTCTCATTTTTACAGATGAGAAACCAAGGCATAGAGAGAAAGTAACTGACTCAAGATTGCACGAGGAGTCTTCAATACAGATGAAATATTTAAAACCTTTAAAAAGTTCCAAATAGTTTTTCCATTAGTACACTTAAAAAATAAACTAAAACTTAAAATTCTTGCCCACAGCTTCCTCATGGTTTAGGAACAGAAACACAATGTTTTTGAGATAGGATTTCAAAGCTGTCTCTGAAATTTTGAATTTAAAGCTGATACTTATGAAGAAAGCAAAGGAATATGGCTGGGATCACCCAGGAGGAAGTGTGGGTGAAAAGTGAAGAGGCTTTTGGTGTAATTTATATTACATTTTAATAATTAAAACATATTGCCTATAAATGTAGAGTTTTTTCAGCCAAGAAAGGGAATAGCACGTTTGTATTGAACAAAGAGTAAATTTTCAACTGTATTATTTAATACACTTTTCAAAAAGCTAATATTAAATTAAGTCAGTTAGGTAATTTTTAATTTTTGAAGCATTTTATTTTCTGGCAAGTGTGACATTAAAGATGACAACTGAGTTATATCGAAGGCTTCATTTTCCAAAGGTCAAAAATGCCTATACATTTGCACATCTCACTTTGAGTGCATAATTACTTGCGCAAGTTAGTTAACTGCAATCAAAAAAGTGACTATTCAGTTCCTTATGCATATACCTATGTTGCATGCAACTGTGATAAATGCCTGTTCAAACGTAGTTTTCCCTGACTTTCTGAAAAATCTGACCACTTTTACTGCAGCAGTAGAGGTAGAAATTGCAACAAATATGCTGCATGAACCATCATAAAATGTGGGAATTTAGAAGTGACAAGTAGTAATAAGAGTTCTAAGAAGATGTTACACAGACATTTCCCTTTCTATGTTCAATTAGTAACATTACAGATCTAGGCAATCACAATTTGTATGTAATTGTTGCCAGTGCAGCCAGTTCCCTCTTCCCATTCTGCTGATTCAGTTCTAGCAAATATATTAGATTTCCAAGCTTCCTGAATGATTGTTGGATGCCAGTGCTATAAAGAGGAGTCATATCAGATCATCAGTAAGGTTGCATTTTTGCTGGCCATCATAGGAGTCAGGGATTCCATAATATTTATGTTGTAAAAAAACCAACCTGCCAGCCCCCCTCTTTTGTCCCGTCCCCCCCCCAACCATCATATCCTTACTGAAGTCAATGGGAATACTTCTGGAGTGAAGTACTGTTTAGTATGAATGAAGAGTCTGGCCCTATAGAAATAAACATCCATGACCTTTAGGCCTTATGCAAGCACCTGCCTTCCCCCTGACTTCTCTGCTTCTCTGTTCCACTGCAAAATCCATCCCACCAATGAACCCTGGGTTATCTACAATATCTCTTTGCCTTGGTCCCATGCTGCTTAGTGTCTCTGGACAAGTGTCCATGACCATGTGGACTTTCTCCACTACAAATTTGCTCTGTCTTTCAGCTCTCCCATCTGCCTGACTAAGGAATACTCTTCTCCCTCAGTGACTCCCCCTCAACCCCAACCCTCCCTCCTCTCCATGCAGGATCTTAACTTTCTTTTGGATCACTCTTTTTTCCTCATTGAACTAACCCATACAACCACTCAGACACTATTGTCCTTCAGATCCATTTCTACAATGATGCTCATGGAGAACTGCCCCCGACAATGGCTAGGTAGAGGGCTGTAGAGATTCTGATAGCTATTTTATTTATATTTTGTAGTTTAAAAAAAACACCTCTTTGATTTGGAAGCATTGAATGGTGCACATAGCTGGTCTGTGTACCCACAGGTTACCATCACTCTTAGCTTTGTCTTCCTTCCCAAGGCCCTCCATTTGTTTGTCACACCCTCTTGATTGCCTTGTCTCACACTAGACTGTGAGCTCTTCAGGCCAGGAACTGTCTTTCTATACTATTTGTACAGTGGCTAACGCTACTGGTCCCAAGTCCCAACTGGAAGACCAGGGCACTACTGAAATACTACAGCTAATGTGGATGACTGTGATAGTAAATAGTCTGGAACCAGTTTCACTGATGTTGAGTTCTGCCAAGTTAAACACTGAGCTGCACAGGAGGCCAATACAACTGGAGAGGCCAAAGTAGTTACATTTCAGGAACAGCTTTAATTCCTCCAAGGCTGATGAGGTTGAGGTAGGCTGGGTTTACAAAGGTCTGGCCTGGCATCACAATCTCACATCTATTTATGGTCATTGCTATAAAAGCACAGTTTGGTTATATGCTAAAATGGGAAAAAAGGTAATGTTATGTACAAAACAATACCCATGTGGGATTCTCCCCTGGGGTCCTGAGATACCTTGCCACTAGCGTGAAACAATCTTGTTTATGCCTACTGCGGTTCGGCTTCCTGAAACCAACAGCCTCTGTCCACCAAGCACTTACTTCCAGGTCTTACCGCAGACCTTGCCCTCCTTGTGCAGGTTAGTGCTAAGTACACACCAAACCCTGAGTCCTCCAGCCACTCACGGTAATTACCAGGTAAGCTGTCCCCAAAGAGGCAGTATACCCACGGAGGGGTACAATTCATGATCAGGTCTTTTATAACAAACCAGCACTAGAATCTTCTTACCATGAATACAAATATGTTTATTTACAAAGATTAAGATTAAGAGATAGTGAGCAAGAATAATGAAAACAAGTTCTATATAAGACAAATGGTATAACACTTCTTACAGTCTAAACTTAACTGTAACAGGCTAAAATCCATCTAAAGCAGTTTCTCACGTAAAGCAACCTCTCATCGTCACTAGCCCACATGGCCAGGATACAACTTTCATGAATGCAAAAAGCACAGTCCTATTAGCTTCCTCAGTGAAGGATGACAAAATGTCCTTTTGCTTCTTATATTCCCCCAAACTCATTGTTTTCTCCTCCAAAGACAGGATGATCCCTGTGGTTTCTTTCCAGGGATGCTGGCTCTAAGGTGTCTTCCCATGCTCCTGTTTGTTTCATGTCCCACGGTGACCTGTTTTTCCTGTTGACTTTCACAGGGGGTTCCATTGCGTTGGCTTTACAATGCTTAATCTACATAGGAATCTAGGCAAACATCTGAAAATATGTCCCTTTGTCTGGCAAAAACAGTTTTTCACCTCTGCTAGTGACACCTTAATACAAACTGGAAGGATGTATTTTCAGTACCTAGATATAATGTTTACAATATAATCATACATATGTTTCAGTGAAGTTAGAGATACAGGACTAGTGCTTTCTAAATGTATTATTGCTATGTATCATGGTAGTGCACAAAGGTCTCAACCAGAACCAGGGCTTCACTGGGCTAGACACTAAATATACACAGAAATAAAAAACAACCCCCCCCCAAACAAAACAAAACAGTTCCTACCCTGCAGAGTTCACCACCTAAATAGACAACAAAGAAAATGTGAGAAAAGAAACATTACTTTCCTCTTTTACACATGGGGAACTGAGGCACAGAGATTGTGATTTGCCCAAAGTCATGCAGGAAGTCTGCGGTAGATTGTGGAACTGAATCAGATCTCCAGAAGCCTGGACCAGGGTGTTAACTACACCTCTCTAATGATGCTCTCTAAAACAAAATTCAGTGTGGCAAACAATTCAGAACATAAAATTAGGGGCCTTTCCAAAGCCAAAATCAAGTGTAGTATCTGTTTAATATCTCAGACATCCTCTACAAGGATATTCTACCCTGCAAGAGGAGGGATTATAGATTTTTCATCTCATGTCTTTGATCTTTTGTCACGTTAATTTAAAACATTTTTAAAACAGCTTGTTTTAGTTGATATGCCCCTGCTAGCTGTTTCTGATGTCTCATTTTAGGAACCCAGATTAATTTTTTGGGAGACAAAAACGGGTTTCCTTACATTTATGTTCAGAATTGACCCCACTATATCTCCAGAGAGACATGCATGATTTGATCCCCCTGTATAGTATACAGCTGGCAAGAATTAGAGAATTTCTTATATGTCTGGTATATAATTATTTTTTTAAAATCTGTTAAATTTGATTTGTTGGCATTTACTAGTTTTAACTTCTAAACTGAACAGGCATTCTGATTTTAAATTCTTCTAACCGTGATTAATAAACTGCTCTTTCAGAAGACCAAGCTGTTTACTCAAGCAGACAGATTAAAAATGGAGCATTTGAGTCTTACTTTTTCACTACTGCCTTTGAGCCAAGTATTTGTTTAAAGAAAACAGAAGGAAGAAATGAAATGCTGGCCTGGTCAATTTTCTACTGCCCAAAAGATCCTATTTACAAGGGAAAAATTGTATGGCAACTGGCTTCTAATGTTTAACTTCCTGAAAATGACTTGTAGGAGCTTATTTAAAAGACAGATACCCCTCCTCCAAGATAGAGCATATTCATTCTGTTCCCTTCAGAGAATTAAACTTGAAATGTGTGTTTTCTCTGCCTAGTTTGTTTTCCTCACATATGTGCTTGGAGTGGCCTGGCTTGGGGTCTTTGGCTTTTCTGCTGTGCCTGTCTTTATGTTCTATAACATATGGTCAACTTGTGAAGTCATCAAATCACTCCAGACAAATATGACAGCTTCAGGGGACCAGATCTGCGTGGATGTCAGGCAATATGGTACTTATTTTAATCCTGATTAAATTCTTTATCCTCTTTCCTTGTCTTGTCTTCAGTTGGTTTGTCTGTCTTATTAGATGAACCAAAAAGCAGAGTATGGTATCGCTGAAAATGCCATTACTTTTCCAATTCATGCAGTTCACACTAACCTATTTCCAGATGCATTCAGTTTAACTGAACAGGCAAGTCCTGTATCTCAAGTGATTTTGTAGCTGTTACCCATATTATTATATCAGGTTTAAATATAAAACAATCTCAAAATAAAATGCTTAGGAACAAAGTGGGTAGAAATTGATATTTTTTTAAAATATCAAAAACATTGAATTTATATTTATTTTCTTTTAAACAGATTTTTAAAATTTGAAATTATGATTAACTATTTTAAGGCCTAAACTTACAATAATCTATTAAAAGAATTTAAATTATAAAATGCTGCAACAATGAGCGGTCCTCAAATTAATTAATTATTGGAAGGGTGCTGCTTTTTTATACAGAATCAGGCAGAAAATATTTCACTTTCAAGGTCAACTCAAGCTTGAAAATGTTACATTAAAATAATACATTAAGTAAACATCGGTATTATTTTCAGCCTCTACCATGGAGTGATGGTAAGTCCAGTTTGTTGTGCAGAAAAGCTTTTGGCTTAACTATTTTCGGTTTCAGTTTAGCTAGCAGGTTCAGAGAGAATATTCTCTTCTTTTGGACTAGTTCATTCAAACTTGGCAAACCCACTGGTAGTTGAAAGCAGGTAAACTTGTTTTCCTCTTCCAATCTATGGATAAAAACAAGGTGGTAGAGGATGAGATCTTCTAACTCTACAAACGTGAAGGACATGGGGCCAGATTTTCAAAAGGTATTTAAGACACGTGAAGATGCAGATAGGCACCTAACTTGCTATGGCACTTTCAAAAATTCCTCTAGACACCTAACTCTCATTGAAAACTATGAGAGGTAGGTGCCTCATGGGATGTTCAAGAGCCCCTAAGCAATTTAAGCACCTCACTCTCATTTATTTAAATGAGAGTGAGGTGCCTCGTGCAATTTTCAAAAGTGCTGTGGCAGGTTAGGTGCATATCTGCATCTTTAAGCACCTAAATACCTTTGACAGTCTGGCGCATTGTGACCAGATACAGTCTGTCAATTCAATAACTAAAATGAATGACCTTAATAACTCATTTTTAATTGCAAAGTGTTTTGATAAGCTTGTTTATTGAATGGATCCAGCAATTTAATTTTATTTAACTAGTAAAAAAAAATTTAATTGTTTTTGTACATTTAATTGAGTTCCAATTTCCATCCAAATGCAATTTGACAAAAATTCAGAATAAAATTTTATCCAGTGTAAATGTGCAAGACTCCAAATATGCACATTAGAATTGAACAATTACATTCAGTACATATGTCTTTGTCTAAGGAATCATCAGTACCCCACCACAGTATTTACTTGGGTTGTTGCTGTGTATTTTGGAATTGCAAAGCAGAACTAAAAGTGGTTATGGAGTAAATCCTGTGAAGCTTTTTCTGCAGCTGTACCAATTTAACATAAATTCATGTTCAGACGATCTGCCCTTGCCACAATCACTAACTCTAACCAGCAGAGTTTGAACTGCTTTAATAGTGTTAAACTCTTCTTTAAATTGTATTGTGAAGACAGACATTAATATATTTTAACATGATCAGCTGCAGTTTAAAACTAACATGGCCAGGCCTACAAAATGAATTGAAAAACATGCTTGCAATATATTTTAAATGACAGATATTTACCTGTATTTAAGATTTACATCTGTTATGGGCCTAAAAGTTTAAACATTTAGTAGCTTCCAGATCTCATTTACTTTAAAAACCAACAAGATAAGTAAATAAATCATCTTGTGCATTATGGGGGTGAAAGGTGTCTGGAAGCACTGGATTTATACGTACCAGGGTTCACCTAAAATGTTTTCTACCCAGTGGAAATGAATCAAGAAACACTGTATTTTTGTAATTCTTCCCTACCACCAGCTACACCAAAATACAAACATCCTGTTGGGTAGGCCTCAGTCCTGAAGCCTTTCTCAAGTGGTGTGTTGGCCTAGTAAGGACTTCAGTATTGAGCCCAATTCTGAAAGCTGCCAAGTACCTTTTGAGGTGCAACTTGCCCCCCATAATCGGGGGAGTTGGGCATGCTCATATGTGATAGGCCAACAGTGAGTAAAATCACCATTTGGCTGCCATATGGGAAACCTACATCTCAGAACATTTGGCAAGCAGCAGCTAGTCTTGGTGTATGGAGAATGCACAATCTGAGCAATTTCTTTGTAGTTTCTCTTGCCAACTCAAAGCTGAACTGGGCAATGTGTGGGTGCATCATAAGGGAACACAACTGGCACGTGGGTGGGGAGGAATAAGATTTGAGAGGAATGGAAGGTTATGCGTTGGCTGTTTAGAACTAACTGTACATTTTGCTCTGGTGTCGTCATTTCAGGTATCATCCCTTGGAATGCTGTACCAGGCAGGGCTTGTGGGCCAATTTTAGAGAACATCTGCAACACAAATGAGGTACAATACAAACAACAGGGCTATTGCAGAAGCCAAAGAAAGTCACATTGGAAGATAAATGCGTTTTTCAGAAGCCTCTACTAACCTGCCAAAACCACCATCTATGCAACAGTAGCAAACATCAATATTGTTAACATCTTTCTTCCTGCCATCCAAAGCCAGAAAAAAAACTGTATTTAAGTCTCCTGGGCTACCTGTTGTGTAAATAACCAGTAATATAAATAGAGCAACAGAGGAAAAAAATTAATTACAAAAATTGGCCGTGTTAGAGTTCTCCACTGAAATGGCAAACAGATTCAATTGTATGTTCCTCTAATCATTAAAATATTTTTCATCTTTTCTTTTCTAGTTCTACATGTCCTATCACCTGTTCATTGTGGCCTGTGCTGGAGCTGGTGCCACTGTCATTGCCCTGGTGGGTAACATCCTCCATATTTCTAATGAAACTTTACACACTCCTTTCAGCTTTTAACAATCTGATATTTTAAAAAATTAAACACCCTGCAAACAGTGATACCGCAAATAAAATGGAGTGACCTGTTGCACTTAAGCTTATAGCACAGTCACCATTATTTAGGTGCATTGCACCTCAATGTAGCTTTCTTAAATTAGAACCTCCACAACAAAGGCAAGCAAACTTTGAGGAGATAGCACTTTGAATAGAACTTTGCTTACTGCAACTCTTTTAACAGCTTTGATAAATTAGTCTGTTTGTAGTTTGCAATTCCAGTTTGATTCTAGATGGGACAAAGTCCACTTCTGGTAATTTCAAGCCAAAAAATCCAAAATTCTGGCCATAAGAAGTTAGGTTTTTTATTTTTTGGAAGTTCATTTTTTCACAGCTTTGGAAATAACCAAACTTCTTGACTCTTTTCTTCTGAAATATCCTGCTTCTGGGATTTTTAAACTTGAGCCATTTCTCTCCCCAGTCCCTCCCTTTTTTTTTGTTTCGCAGTGAAGGGTAGTATGTAAACCTGTTACTCTGCTTGTTGGAACAGAGGAAACTTTAGGTCAGGTCACTGGTACTGGGCCTACAAAAGCTACTTAGGCAGCAAGTGGAAATTAGGTATTAACAAGATGGCATGTTTCACTTTTTTTTCCTTACAGTAACGGACTATTGGAGCTATCAACTTTTAACATTGCATTAACCAAATTCAGGGGTAATAGTCACTGTTCTTCCACTGTAGCAGCCCCAGGCCAGACTGTAGATTATATCTAAAACGGAATAGCAAAATATTTGCTTAGTGCAAGTCTTGAATCATCATCTGAGACAGTGATGTCTGTCATAGAACTGATCAAAAAACTGCCCAAGAGGGCTTGAGCCGTCAGCTTATTGTATCTTACTCTTCTGTATTTTGTTCTTTTCCACCAGCTGATCTACATGATGGCTACCACATATAACTATGCTGTTTTGAAGTTTAAGAGTCGGGAAGATTGCTGCACTAAATTCTAAATTGCATAAGCCCAGTAAAGAGCTGCATGCATAGCCTGAAATACCACTGACACCCTAGACTAAGAGTCTAGCTTTTCAATTTTGTTACAGTAATTTGTAAATAGCTTCAGTAAGCATCATTTAGCATATCAGATTAATAAAATGACTTATTGTATATGAATTTTGATGTGGATGAGATCTGGCTATTTTCTAAACGTTGAGAGGATTCAGTTACTTTAGATGTTGCAAATCATCCTCTGAAGACAGGAGTTATCTCTCAAACAAATTTTTAAATGCCAGTGATTAGTTATTTTTCTCTCTCCTGTGCACTAATTTCAATAGTGAGAATAAAGCATACATTACAGCTGATGTACAAGGGACCAGGGTGATTAGAAGAGTGCCGATGCGTAGCTGTTTGACTGACATACAGAACCATGTGTTTACAAATGTATTTTTAAAAAAAAGGCTCCATATACATTTGCCAGTATTTCCAATGTGTGGATGACAAAGTCACAAGGTACACCCAGCCTATTAGTGAGGCTTTAGGAAACTCTACAAGAATTGAAACTTCAGTACTAAATTTTCAAACAACTGCCAAATCATGCTTTCTCTGGAAAAAGAAAGTACCATGCTCTTGTGCTGCGTAAAACAATCACTTTCCTTTTTGGACTCCAAACTGACCATAAGAAACCGCATTTAGGTCACTTCTGTGCTGGTACTGTTTATGAAGTAGTAACTGATTTCTCAGTAGCCAGATCTCAAAATATAAGTTTGATTGTATGGGAAGCTAAACTGTGCATAGACCAACACTGCTGAAAAGGCACAAAAGAATCCAGGTGTTTTCAGATGTAGGTTTTTCTTGCATGAAATTTGGTGAAAAGAAGATGGCAAGAGATTTTTACTGTGCAAACGGAAACAATTTCTATATATGCTCAAACTTTACCTGAAAGTAGACAATGGGAGTTTAAAAAAAAAAAGTTACAAAAATGCCACCACTAAGATGTGTTAACTCAGACAACATGCTTTTGCTTAGAGTTTTAGACTCACATTTCCTTATTTAATATCCCCATGTTAAAATGTAGCTTTTTATTATTCATAGTAAACAATGTTTACAATTTTAGGCTTCTTTGGGGGGTTGAATGGGACGGGAGGGAAATCTCACCAGAATCTTTGCACTACATACGTTTAAAGAAAAACACCACAAACTTAAGCATCCGTTATCGACTCTAGGCTTCAGAGTATATATTTGCCAAATGCAAAAAGCTGCTTCTATTTTTGCTTCCTTTTTTCCTGTGTTGCATTTTAACTGATCAGTAAAACTCTTTCGCTCATTTTTACTACTTCTGCACACTAACACCTCAAGCTAGTTTTTAGTAAGCAAACTAGAAGATAAGCATGCAAAATTCTAGAAGTCAATTGAAATGAGCCTCTGTGCTGTTTAACAACAGAATGCTTATTAATGTAGAATAACTTTGTTTTTTGTTTAATGAATGTCTTAATCTGACTAGCAGCTTGCTTTGCCTCTTGACATGCTCACTAGCCATCATGCTCACCCTTCTCTTCCAGATCCACTTCCTCATGATACTGTCTTCTAACTGGGCCTACTTAAAGGATGCAAGCAAAATGCAAGCTTACCAAGATATCAAAGCAAAAGAAGAGCAGGAGCTTCAAGATATCCAGTCTCGGTCAAAAGAGCAACTCAATTCTTACACATAAAAGTTTGCCAGAGTAATTCAACAGAAGAATTTTGTAGTTCTGACAAATCCTCAAACGGCTGCTCTGCAGTACAGATGTATGTCTACCAAACAATCTAATACAGAAGTGTAAAAACTTCACATTCAAGCTCCTGGGACATGTTCAAAGGGAAACCTTCCAGTGGGTAACCTTCCTTTCTTTAGTACAGATTTAAGAGGTTTCAGTCCAGCCATTTTAAAAGGCAACACTTTGTAACAAGTGCCCAATCAGTCATCCTTTTGAGACGCTTGGTATTAATTCTTGTGGCCTAAAGCTCCTCTACAAAATTGTAGTGGGTGACCCAGCATGGCAAGTAGCAGGAGATTTATGGCCATAAATAATTGCACAGTTGTGAGATGTGATAAAACAATTATCCCAGTTCTATACCAAATGAAACTGTGGCTAGCTCATCAGATTTCTCATAGCTCATGTTTATTTACTGATACAATCTCAGCATGTCATAAACCAGCTGATTCATAAAAGGGCAAGTGTCTAACTAAAAGCACTTTATGGGCAGAAGGCAGAAGTCCATTTTCAGAGCCACATCTTTTTCAATAATGCTATAGTGAGCTACTGTCATTCTACTGCACTTACTATCTGCACAAGCTGGGTGCTGAGTAATTGCTCAGCTGCTCCAAGTTTTAATTATTTTTATTAACTAGTTGATGGAATGTAGATGCTGGTCAGGATAATGATCCCCTTCTTTGAAAATAAATGTCAGCTTTGCCTTAATATTTATTTTCTATAAATGCCTTAGCATTTATATAGTAGCAGGAGACCATTATCTGTATTATTAAGCAAAAAGTGTTACCTTATTAAAATGAAACTGATTTGACTATTCCAAATGAGCAGACTAGTGAATTTGCAGTTTCACATAAGCTATAAAAAATACAGCCATAAAGCAGACCACTGGTCAGCCACCTTTCTCTACTTCGGTGCTTAAGTTTATAGTCAGTGCTTATTCATTTTTGCTTTATAAATCACAAAAAGCCAGGGTGGTGTTCAGCAAAAAATCTGGTGCCGTGTTAAAGTCCCACAGCAGTCTGCCTTCATTTTGTTTTTTCAGAAACATTCAGTGATATCTTGAGTATTAGTGATGGGTATATTTGGTGTTTGTTCTTTACAAAATATTTTATAAATAAGGGGGGGAAATCAAGTATCAGTCATTTGAAAAAAAAATTAAATGGTAAAGTCAAGTTATATTCCCATGTTAAGTTAATGTGTGGTTTGATTAGTTTTGACTGTTGGCTGAATATTAAAATAAAAAGGAAGCACAAGTTTCTTTAGCTAAGTCAATATTAAGATGTGGACAGACATTTTTCAAGTATTACCTTACAGTTGGATTTTTTGGTTAAATGCCTAAAAGTCTAATCTGACAGTTTTAAAAAAGGGGCAAAGTGTACGTAGAGCAGATGACAGTGTAGCCTAGTGTTTGTTTTACCTGTTGCATGAAGGAGAAACATTTCTACAACAATGCAGGTGATGTTCTAGCCCAGTGTTTGCATAAGGGGAATGGAGGCAGTGTCTTAAAGCCTAATTCTTTTCTAGTTCGATGTAGCTATTACTGGGAGTTTTCTGAAGTTTTGTTTAAGTAGTCTAATATTTTTATGTAAAGAGCATTAAATTTTGCTATGTATAAATTTTTGTAACCTAACAGTGAATCAATATTTTCTATCAGTGCCAAGGGCTTCCTGTAGCTATATCCAAGTGTTAAATAAATATTTGTAGATAAGAATAGACAAGTGGTGTGTCTATTATTTTATGTCTCTTTTTAGACAAAGTTATAGCTGTACAAACAATGAGAAAGTTACTTTATTTGGATGAATTTACATCTGACAAGTTCATCCTGCGTAAAATAATTCAATATTTATTGGATATATCACCAGATTGGGGAGAAATGCTACCAGGACTCTGCTTCTAGGTGTCATGCCACAGGCTGTAGAGGTTTCCATTGTGATAACAGCCCACAACTGCTACAGCATTTTAATGAACAAATTCAAATCACATCATGCAACAAAGTGTTTTTCATACATTCTTAAAATCAAACTAATATCCTGGGCAGTAAACATATAGGACAGCAGAGGACCATATGCCTGATGTAATTATTTTTCTTCATATTTGGCTCTTGTGAGAGTTGTATAAAATTGGAAATGTCTCTACCTCTCAATGCTCAGCTGCTATCCCAAATCACTCGCCTCTGCTGTGAAGTTACCTATAAATATTCTCTTGAGCTAAATGTTAATTTACTAAAAAAAGTTAGTTAAGGCAGAGAAATGACACTTTTCCTTCAGTTGGCCATATTTAAAAGTTTTTATCCTTTTAAAAAAGCAAACTTGACTTACCAATAGAGTGACTATGGTTGAATGAAGAATCAGTCAGTTTGTATATTAATTATTAAAAATCTCATGCACTGTTTTACAGAAAAAGATTGCTAACCCTGCAACCACCTGAGAGTCAAGCTAGGGTTTTCTCCTTGTTACATCTGATCAGTAACCATGACCCAACTCAAGTACACTCCCAGTTGCACCTTCACCATACCTACTGTATAGTACAGTGGTTCTCAGACTTATTTGACTATGCCCCCTGCTTCTTTGTGACTGTAGCAGTTTGCACCTCCTGCCACGCAAGTACATATGCAGCAGTGGTGCTTCACTTGAGAGATTGTTTCTGTTGCACGAATGAGCCAACGATCCACTGTAATAAGAGCAAAAGCAAAACTGCGCTTGTGGTCCATGCTTACAATTAAAGGCACATACCACATCGTAGCAAATGGATTAACGTAAAGTTTGCATAACATTCTACAAAGTCGTTGCCATCTGAACAGAAAGGCACAGCACTAACTGAGGACCTGAAGAAATCAGCTTTGTTAGTTATTCATTGCTGTTGGGAAAATGTGCACAGTAAGGGTTTTTTCCCCCCATAAAGTTTCTCCTTCTTCCTCCCCCCCTCAGAACACATTCCCTGCTCCCCAGTTTGAAAACCTCTGGAGTAGTACCTATTGCTGCTTTAAAATATTTACCCACAAACCAAAGAGTACTTCCATATTACATTTCTTACTAATTGGAAATTCTGTTCAATAATGAGAACTTCACAGAGCACCGTTGACACATTTTATTATAAAATACCAGAACAGTCTATAAAATGCAAACCTAAAAAAGTGAAGAGGATTAAGACAGTCGTGTTTATACCCACTCCTATGGAGTATTTAATATACCAGCAGTGAAACAGCATGAAGATTGCCTTTTAAAGTGTATTTTTCTTCCCCTGTCTTGCTGCTTCTGTAGAAAAGTACTTCAACAAGTTAACTGCACTAATCTAAAGGTCTCAAAGAAATAGCTATCAGGTGTCTATCAGAATGCATCACAATCGGCCTATCTGAGCTCTTGTGTCGCAGATAGTCAGCTTGACATGCCGTTTTGTGAAACCAGCAATGTAAGCATGCTGGAAAAGACCATCACTTTCAAATCTACTTTGTCTGAATTTTCATTTTTATCATTTAATCTTTAAAACTCTCTTGTCTTAAGGCAGGATGGTATTTTTTAAAAGCCACCTAATTTACCTGAAAAAATGTTGAACTGCTTTATATCCTAATAGTACAGGCAGCTTTGCTTTTCAGTCACCGCCCAGAGCTTTTTCACGAATACGAAAACAAACACTTTCTGATCAACAGGCTGTACTGACTCCTAGAATATTTTGTGAAGACAGGGGAAAGCTTAAAACACAAAGGTTAGGCCATGTGCTTAAGGTTTTAGCAGCTATTAGTACTACCAGTCATAGCAGATTCATCTAAAAGGACTCATTTGGGATAATGTCTTTGTAAAAGGCTTATAATGTTAAACTTTAATTCTGATCCCCAGCTGAAACCACTGTGCATGAAAATATTCAGTTCTTGTGGTCTAGTGACTGTTTACATAACTTCACACCATCCTCCACTGTGCTGGTCATTAGGAGAGAGTAGCGGCTATTCACCAGAAGTCTTCATCTGGTTCTCCATGAGAGACGCCTGCAGCACTAAATGTGGGGTAGAAGGGAAAAAGGAGTTATGAATGGGTTCTGAAGCAGTCTTCTGCCTGAAATTTACTCATGCGTCTAAATATCTTCCCTTCCCTACTAGAAAGTTCCATTTGCCTGAGATTTAAGAAGAGACAACCTCCTACCTCTGGCTTTACAAATCAGCCTTTCAAATTACAGTGACTTTGTCAATAGCCCCAGGCAGTAAGTGGATTCTTGAAAATTAATACCAGTGTCTGAGCATAAGCTTCTGACACAATGAAATCATCCTTCAGAAAATAAGAGTACCTATTTGTGAACCCAAATGCAGATAGATAATACACTGTTTTTGTTAGATGGGAATCCTTTATTGTCAGCATTCATGCACAACCTTACAGTAACACATTGTTCAGCATGAGAGGGGAGAAATACAGACGGTCTACGCTGTGCGCAAGACATGTAATTTCCTTTGCTCGTCTACACATGCTTGTGCTAGCTCTCATTGACCAATGTGAGTATAAACAGCAGGGTAGCTGCAGAAGCCTGGGCAGTGCCACCGGATGCAGGGCTGGGTATTTACCTACCAGTTTCAGGTGGGTTTCTAAGGGGCATGGCTCACTTGTGCCTCTGCTGCCAAAGAGAGCTAGCACAAGCAGGGGAAGTCACACCGCTACCTTGCAGTGTAAACACAGGCACAGTAAGGAAGACATACTTTAGTAACAACCTACGAATTTAAATTATGCAGTCAATGTTTATCTACTTGAGTACATGCAACTTATTAAACTATTCAAACTCCTACTGAAACGCTCCAGCTACATCTGCTGTTTTTTGTCTGTCCCAGGGTTACTCTAACTTCCAATGATTTCAACGGAAAAAGACCATCATCTCAGGTGAAGCGCAGGAGCATTTGCAGAAAAGGCATTAAAATACCTTCTAAGCATATAACAACTAATCATCAGACCTCAAAAGGGATAACCATTGGAAAGCAGGGATAGTTCAAGATTTACTTCAACAATTAGCTCTTTATGTAAAAATTCAGACAAGCCCATCCACACGAGCATAACACTGCACCTCTTCTCTTTGCAACTGAAAAAAAACAAACCCCACCAATCTAATAGATGGAATGAAGAAATGGACTTCGGGACCGGTGGGATGGGATAAGGAATCTTTGACATCATTGGCTCAGATCTGGCTCAGAGCTGGAGCAAGTGAGTTTTTATTCTCCAACAACTGGTCTAGCTGAAATAAATTGTTAATCACAATCCAGTGCCAGACTGAGCAAATATACACATAAGCCAACCTACTCTGCCAATTTAGCACTCTCATTTGTTGACCTTGCAGAGACGTTAGGCACGAAGAGTGTCATTAACCCCCAGGAATTGTCTCAAGCTCTGGGCAAGGTGAAGGTTGTGCTGCTGCTGTCCCAGGGCTGAAGGGCTAATCAGCAGGGCTGCTGACCCATCTCCCTGGAATATAGTTGCTTAACATCATTGTAAATGGGGGTGTTTGCACATGCTGTAATAATTTCTTCAGCCAAGAGAAGAGGGCTGCATTTTTCTAAGAAAAATTAAAGAAAAAACTAGTCTTTACTTAAAAGGATGCCTAACTTCAGCATATTGCTTTTGATCTACTCGTTTATGAGAAAGGTTTGGCTGAAAGTTATATGTGAATTTCATTTTTAAAAGGCAGACATAGGTTACCTATAAATCAAACCACAACTATCACATTAATAAAATGAGTCACATTTTCAAGTAACTGAAATACCATTTCTGTGACTCCTTAGCAATTAAGAATACCTCAGCTTTAAATAATAACTGTATCCAGCCTGACCTGTCATCTTTTTCACTAGACAGGAGTCTCTCTATCAGTGATACTTCTTCCACTTCCTCTTTTTTGGAGCTCTGGCAGACAAGAGAAAAACATTAAATTTGGTTCTTTGACCTAACTTTACAAACATAATAGTACTAGCGTAGCATATGATCTTACAGAGAGCTTAAGCACATAGGTAAGCTATTGCTGTCAACAAATGCTAGCTATGTAGTTTTATGCACACCATGACTTTTTAAACAACATTGTATAGAAGAGCAAGCACATTGTCAGCAATATGGTCATGATGTTTTGGGATACAAAACGTGAACCAGTTCGGAACAGAAACTTATAAAATAATTTTAATAATAATAAGAAATTCCATTTTTGATGACAATCCACTCACTGGAATGCTTCAATGGACTTTTTTTTTTTTTAAATCACAGTTATTTGTTCTCTCAGGCCTAAATGTTTAATTTTTGACATCCATTCATCAGGAAACTATTTCAGACCTGAAATTTTGGTGCACTATCATTTACATGTATAAATGATAGTGACAGAGGCAAACCCAATTTCTGCAGAAACGGGTTTTCGAAATATAAACTCTATCGTGTGCGCGCTACTGTCTTGGTGCATTATGTATACCATTAGTGAACATGCAAGAGGAGGTCCCTCTAAAAATTAGGCCCTCAGTTTTAACTATCCTCTGTCTACATACAACATTTTGAAACCATTAATTTCTAACTACATTAAATACTGTTCTGTGTTACTGTCTGACATAATGCAATATAGCTGGGCACAGCCTTACATAAGAAATGTAATCTTGCCATTCCCATATGAACTAGGCAAAACCCCTTGGGAAGACACATCTCCAACAGTGAACACAAATCCAACAGTTAACTGACTAACTATATTATAAACCAGCTCCTCTTCTCACATTTTGTTACTCTAATTTTCACACTGAAAATGAAGAAGACCAAATTGAGTGGACAGTATTCTCCACCTCATAATCTATGGATACATTGTAATTCAGAAAACATTGTCCGCCAGAGTCACACTTTGAAATCACCCTTTTACTGCCTGCAGGTTTTGGTATATCACCTTGTTTGTCAGCTCCTGCTCTCTGCTCTGCTCTATCAGTTTCATGTATTTTTCTAGTGGATTAGGACGAGGGTCACACAAATTGTCTTTAGCATCAGGACTACTGATTTCCAACTCTTCCACTTCACGGTCTGTCTTTTTTTCTTCTTCTTCACTTTTCAACGAATCTTGGATCAACTTCTAGAAAAACCCAAAAAACAGCAACACACTTAAAACTGACCAGCCAGTTCAAAAATATTTCAATCAGGCTTTATATATGAAGTTCAGTACATTACCAGTCTGATCTAGTAATCTGTGCTCTAGTCTGAATGGAGTGTTTAATGTGACATGTACCGTATTCACTCACACTTCTGGGATTGGCCAGATCATGCAGTCCTTGCTCAGGCAAAGTCTCATTGTAGTCAATGGGAGTTTTACTTAAGTAGAGAATGCATCCGATGAAGTGAGCTGTAGCTCACGAAAGCTTATGCTCAAATAAATTTGTTAGTCTCTAAGGTGCCACAAGTACTCCTTTTCTTTTTGCGAATACAGACTAACACGGCTGCTACCCTGAAACCTGAGGGACTGGGTATTGGGTATCACATTTTTTCATTCAGTTTGTTCCAATCTGGGAGCCAATTTAGAAAACAGTCTCTAGTTTTGGCTTACAATAAGCCAAACCCTGCCCAGGTTGAAACCAATGCCACACAATAGTATCACATAGTAACATGAATTACTGGACAGCAAGCTTTTAATCTGGAGAGAAATTTTAGAAACAAGGAAGTTTAGTTATTAATGTAGCTACAGAACTATTATAAATGACAGTAAATCCAGGATAAACTATTCTATGTTAAATTCACATAGAAAAAACAATGTAGGAAGTTGTCTAGGATTGCGATGTGGTTACTTTAGTTCAAATTATATGGTATAACAAAGTTGCATTCCTGTCAGAAATTAAAATATTACATCACCATTTCGTCATTCAGTTTTTCTAGTTCTCTTTCCTCCCTTTCCAGTGCTTCCTGCCTTTCTCTCTGCCTTCTTTCTTCTCTTTCTCTTCTTTCTTCTTCCCATTTTTTCTCACTCTCTTCTCTTTTCTGTTCTTCAGACTGTCTTTGATCAACCACTGCTGTAATAAAATTATTTCTGTGCCATTTGACATACAAAGTGCTGTAATCAAGATTTGCAAGTGTTGGCTATTGAAATAAAGTGTGACATGCAGTTTGGTAATACATTGAGTGAATTGGTAGTCCCGATTGGGAAAGATGGAAAACAGACAAACAAGTAAGCAGCAAATTGATTATGTAACTGTTTCTGTATGGCACCTATAATAAACCTAAAAAACCTGGATGTGTAATTTACACATGTACCATGTAACATATTGTTAATTTGAGCTAATTTAGCAGGCAATTTTTTTTCAATTATTAGGTTTTCTTATCTTACTGGTTACACAATGAAACTCCAAGACTTAAGCCAAAGAGATAGGAGAGTTTTATGATTAAAGCAGAGGAGAGGGAGTCAGGAGACCTGTGTGTAATTCCCAGCTGTGCCACAGACTTCCAGAGTGACCTTGGGCAAGTTATTTAAGCCAATTTTTTTCAAATCTGGATGCCTAACCTCAAGTAGATGAAATCCATATTTACAGTAGGCTTCTAAATAAGTGGCCTGACTTACAAGTGGTAAACACACACAGCTCCCACTGAGGTCAAGATGGATTTAGAGATGCCCTAGTTTAGGTTCTAAGTAGGAAAATGTTAACCTGAGCCTCTCTGTGCCTCAATTTCCTGATCTGTAAAATGGAGATGATACTACTTGTCTTCCTCATAAGGATGCTGCAAGGTTTAATTTTTTAGTATTTGTAAAATGTTTTAAGATATTTGGATAGAAGAGGTTACAAAAATACAAAGTATTATAAAGTAGTTATTTAGGAAAAACGATCACAGCACATAAATCTAGTTAAACCTGTGGAGTTTAAATGCTAAGACCATTTACTTCTATAAAGTAGTAATTTGTTACATGCACAAAATACCAGAAACTATTTGAAGCTAGAAAGCCTTCTGCCCACAGCAACGCCTTTGGGTAAGACTTGAAAACTACCTTCATACCCAGCAAGATGCTCCAGATCATTATACCACTGAGCTGTACTGAAGCATTGGAGAAATTAAGCATGCTGCATTTAAATCATCTTTGCCTATCTATCTCTTCGGGTTTTATATTGACACCCTTCACAATAGTGATTATATACTGAGCGAATTGGTATGCAAGACAATCAGCAAATGCAGACACACATTAAGATAAATGTTGAAGAAAGTTTCTCCCTAAAGAAGCAAAGATCATGAAATTAATATTGAGGCCAAAACAAAAAAATGAAGTCTCTTCAGAAGCCAAAAAGCAAACTTAAAAAGATGAAATTAAAACAAAGTTAATAGAAGTACTGGTGAAAATCATCATCCTACAGTAAGTCAAGAATTAACAAAAAAAGATGTACTATTCCTTCTTCTTTAGTACCTAAACACTAGCTTTGAGAAAAGTTTTCAACCACTTCAATGCAGGAAACTACAAAATGCTAATTTTTGTTTGCTTTTAGTTTTAATACATTGACCATCTAAAAAGGGTATTTGCTTTTGTTTCGGAGCTAAGAACTCACTTAAATCCTGCTGTGAAGTGGCTGTTGCTGGCACAGCGTTTGTGACATTGCTCCCATTGACGCTGTCCCCAGATGGATGTGACACATCACTTTCAAACTGCTCTGGAATGTCCCCTTGATCTGGAGAAGAAGTTTGAACAATGGCCTCATTATTCTGTAATTATAATAGTGGGGCAAAGGAACGGACACAAAGTGTGGGAATGGTTGGAGTGAGAATACATAAATTTAAGCCATTAATTAAGCACTCTCCCCTCCAAACTCAACCATTTAACTGAAAATTAAGAAATATCAAGTAGGCTTCACTTGCTACTTTAATCATAATCATGGCATTGATTGGCTTTGAAAACTGATTGTAACAACACGTGTTTACTAAAGCTACTGGCACAACTGAAATCAACATATACTTGTGAGATAAAAGATTTTTAAAATTCTTATTTGATTCATAAATATAGACCCAAAATGTAAAAAACAAGTAGGTTTCCTTCACATACTATATCTATGTGCCTACATATATATATATACACACACACACACATCTCACAAAGAACTACATTAAAAGCACTCAGAAGTTAGGAAATGCCAGAATGCCTGTTCAACCTTAGTCAGTCACACTTGTGTGTAATGCATTATGAGATAGTCTTTGATTACATGATCACATACTATTTTGTCCACAGGACCCACCTCATTCAGGATGAATGGAGTTCACTTCATGAGCAGCTATTCAATATGTTGTTTTCTCCTCATTGTTCAATGTATGGCCCCAGGCCTTATTTACTGCACACTACTATTCAAACCCTGCTCTGAAGACAGAAGTATTAATTTCCTCATTGGCTTCTCTATGGTGCTCATTCCTATAGTATCTGACCGTTCCACAAATAATAAAGAATTCATTTTCACAAGACCATTGTCAGGTAAGGTAGTGGTATCCCCATTTTACATATGGTAAACTGAGGCACAGATTAAAGTCAGAAATATCCACTAATTTTGGGTGCCCAATTGGAAAAACCTAGGTCATTGGATTTTCATGCAATTTAGCATTATATAGCTTTTTATATGTTCCAAGCACAGCTCCCATTGACTTCAGTTGCAAATGTGTGTTCAGCACTTCTGCAAGTCAGACCCAACTGTCTCAAGTAAGGCATCCAGAAAAAGATGAACATAAACCAAACTTCTGACAGGTAGTCACTTAAGTGACTTGCCTAGCATCACATAGGAACTCTGGAATTCAATTGCCTTAATCACAAGACCTTCCTTTCTTTTCCTACAATCCCCTGCCACCTTCACTACACTCCTTCCAACTACTGCAACAAATGAAGCAGAGGTCCGACACACAACAGCGTTCTTTGCTACACAACCCTGATCTATCCACAGAGCAGATCTATCTCGTTCACTGAATGAGACAGGCATCTTGTGGAAAAAATAGAATGTGATTACATAATTAAAGACTGTCTCATAATGCATTCACACCAGGGGACAATTTTCCAAAAACTTTTCATCCTGAAGCACACAACTCGCACAGAAAAGTCCTTCCAAAATAGTTAAAGTTTGGCGAAGTTATAAGCAACTGAAAACAGGATCTTATAGTGAGAAGTCTCAGGCAACCTCAGTAATAGGTATTCATGGATTCTGAGGCCAGAATGGACCATTGTGATCATCTAGTCTGACCTCCTGTATAACACAGGCCCTAGAACTTCCCCCAAAATAATTCCTAAAGCATATCTTTAGAAAAACTTCCAATCTTGATTCACCAGCCTTGTGTATAATGACACACAAATCTCATTCTCTTTCATGTACATCAGATAACCCATCATATGATTAACATACTCAAAAGCATCTTTTTTTGTTTTCTTTTAAATTAGTTTTAAATGATAACTTTGATTAATAATAAAGATATGGCTACCTAAACACAGATATTACTTATTTTGTAGTCATTATCAACAATCATCATCAATATGTTGTTTTGTATTCCCCATGCTTGAAACAGCAGAATTTCATGTGTGCAGATTGGCACAAGGAATGACTAAACAGCAAAACCATTTCTAATATTCTATGAGCAGAAAACAGTATTAATATAAAGATCTTTAAATAATCGAAGTCTAAAATGTCCATATATATATATATATATATATTATATATATAAAATTATGCATATAAATGTATCAGAGTTCATATATTTCATAAAACACACTGCAAGAAGTATCAATGTTGTTCCTCGGTTACTAGATCTTGGATCCAACTTCTAAAAATCAGTCATCCACGCAGAAACAGAGAACTAGATCATCAACAGTAATATATTCACCAAAATAAGACAGCAACTAGTACAGCAAGAATGATCTTTATTTGCAGCCAGAAAGCAACAACACTATTTAGAAAATAAAAATTATCTCGCTCTGTATGTATCTTCATTCTTACACGTGGGTGAAGAGTGCTAGAGAGGTTTTTATTGCTATGAGTTAGGAATAACTGTGCTGTCATGGTAATTATCTACATCAGTGATGGAACCCATTTTAGGCTGGACTGGCAGATGGGCATTTCCTGTCTCCTGATGTCCCCTGGCACCATGTGCTGATATAGTTGCTACACTCTCCTTTTTTTCTCTCCATTTTCTCTCTTCTCTTTTTGTCTTATTCCTTTGTTATCTACTTCCCCGCTTTCTGTATTTCCCCCTTTTTCTTTTTTGCTTTTTATATGCTGTGGAGAAGGTACAAGGTTAACTTGAAATCGTATGATATGAGATGTTATTGGATAAGTGTTAAACAAAACTGCATGATGGGGTATGTTACAGGACAAAGAGAACACATGCCATTGGTACACAGAGGTTTGGACTCCTAGTGGAAGCTCCTCCCAGATTGCTTGTTTGGAAATCTTGGGGGCGGGGGGGATGGGGGGGAGGCGTTAATTCGAAAGGTTGGTTTTTTGACTTCTGAGGAGAGAGGGAGCAGAATCACAGAGGGGAATGCAAAGGTAGACTTTGATCAGGAAGGGAAATACTGCCAGGCTCCTGTAAGATTAGGCTTTCCCTAGTGCAGTGGTCCTCAAATTTTTTAAATCACACCCCACCCCCCTTACCTGTAATTGAATCTGTCCACACACACCCACCGGAGCTGGACTCAGGGCCAGAACTGTGGTTAGGAGTCGCAGTCGGGGTCAGGGGTCGGGAGCTGGGTCCAGGAGCAGAAGTGGAGCTGAGGACGGAGCTGGGGGTAGGCTTAGGGTGCAGCAGACCTAGGGACAGAGCAGGGCTAGGTGACGCTCTCTCCACATCCCCCATGGGGGCTGGATCAAGACCTGCCTCGTCCCCCTGAACATTCCTCTGCGCTCGCCTAGGGGGACGCGCCCCAAAGTTTGGAGACCACTGCCCTAATGGAGTAAGAAGTACAAGGATTACTGAACACTCTTATTATGTTTAATCTGGTTAAATAGAAGTTTAGTGGTTTTTCAAACCCAGAAGTCAGAGGTGTTGTCAGTTTGGAGAGATCTGCAGGGCCCTCAAAACGGAGTTAGGAAAAGCAGCCAGGATTGCCTATATTTATTGGCAAGTGCCCTGAGAGGAAGTTCACAGGGGTAAAATGACTGTACTAGTGCCACAGAGAAATCAATATTGAACAAGGTGTGTGCCCATGCAAAGGCAGGTCATGGCATATGCTTTTCATGTTTCTTCTCTTTCTGCTCCCTTCCTCCTTTCTGATAGCTCTTTTCCTCCACTCACATGCCAATGGAGGTGTTCACTGGTACACCCAACATAACACTGGGGGTCAGTACAGTTAATTTAGAACCAGCTCTAGGTACAAATATCTCAAATTATCCCTTCTGTTCATGTGCATCACTAATTAGATGAGGAGGCATTTAGCTAATTCTATCTAGGCATGATACCTGGTTTTTCCAGTTACTCATAGCATCCAGTCTGTTCTCAAATCCAGTAAAATAAAGGAATAAAAATAGGTGAATTAGAATCAGTTCCTAAAAGTATCTACTGTAAAAGTAAGTAATTTAATAATTTAAATGAATAAATGTCATATCCTAATTGTATGAGCAGAAATACCTAGTGTAGAAGTATTTCAACTAATACAAGCTGCATTAAAAATAACGTAAAATACTGTTAAATAATCTACAGTAACGTGTCGCTTAACATTGTAGTTATGTTCCTGAATGATGCTACTTTAAGCGAAACGATGTTCAGCAAATCCAATTTCCCCATAAGAATTAATGTAAATGGAGGGGTTTAGGTTCCAGGGAAAAAATTCTTTTTGCCAGACAAAAGACTATATATATATACACACACACACACATATATAGATATATATAGACAGTATAAGTTTTAAACAAACAATTTAGTAATGTACACAGCAATGATGATTGTGAAGCTTGGTTGAGGTGGTGGAGTCAGAGGGTGGAAGAGGGTGGGATATTTCCCAGGGAATGCCTTACTGCTAAATGATGAACCAGCACTCGGCTGAGCCCTCAAGGGTTAACACACTGTTCTTAATATAGCCTCACACTCTACAAGGCAGCATGAATGGAGGGAAGGGAGACAGCATGGCAGAGAGAGAGAGACGCGCATTGCCCCTTTAAGTACGCTGACACCACTCTTAGTACGTTGCCTTTTTAAGTAGATCAGCAAGTTGAGACAGCAGCTGCTGCCAGCAAGCTTTCTCCGTCCTGAGCCCTGTCATGTCTCCGTCTCCCCCCCACTCTGTGGAGATAAGGTACAGGAGCGGGGGGCAGGTGCGGGGGGAGGGGGACACCCTGACATTAGCACCCCTCTTTCCCCCCACTCTGCACAGCAAGCAGGAGGCTCCCAGGAGCAGCTCCAAGGCAGAGGGCAGGAACAGCACATGGCAGTGGCGGGAGAGACAGCTGAACTGCCGGCAATTGGTAGCCTGCTGGGCGGCTGCAGCACAGGGAACTTAGGGGAGCGGGGAGCTGATGGAGGGCCTGCCGGTCCAACATGGTTCCAAGCCCCCGCCAACGGGCTCCAATAGGCTGCTCTTTCTGCAAGCAGTGGACAAAGCAGGCAGCTGCCAAAGGACATTATAAGGGAGCATTGCACAACTTTAAACAAGCATGTTCCCCAATTGATCAGCAATGTAACAACGAAAGAATGTTAACCGGGGCGACATTAGGTCAGGAGTTACTGTATTTAAAAGCTGTAAAAAGAAAACTAAATGGAACGAATTAAAACTGATGATTCAAATAACTAAAACTAAGGGGAAAAATCCACAGAACAGTCACCCACTTCATCAACTCATCACTCAACATAGCCAGCATGTCTGCCATGGAAAACAGAGCAACCTTAGAGATGTTTTATTTAAAGTTTAATACTGTGTTGATACCTAGGAAAGCAAGTAGGGAACTGTTACCTTTGCTCCATGTTCTATGAGCCCCAACAACAAGGCATGAATTGAGACAATGTGACACCTGGAGCTAATGCTGATCATAGAATATCAGGGTTGGAAGGGACCTCAGGAGGTCATCTAGTCAAACCCCCTGCTCAAAGCAGGGCCAATCCCCAATTTTTGCCCCAGATCCCTAAATGGCCCCCTCAAGGATTGAACTCACAACCCTGGGTTTAGCAGGCCAATGCTCAAACCACTGAGCTATCCCTCCCCCTTATCTCTGCATCCATATCTTTGAGAAGTATTCTACCTTTAACTGATGGTCTATTTGTCAACAGTGAGTTTAATTTCCAACCCAATCATGTGGCTTTAATAACAGTTTTTTCCAGTCTTTATTAACCTAAACAACTGTGTTATCTGCAAATTTTGATACCTCAATATTCACCTTCTTCTCCACACACAAACACTGTCTCACTGTAGTTAAGGTTGCACAGTTCTATTTGCATAATATTTTAATAATAATAATAAAATAATACCTGAAAAGCTTAAACTGAAATCTCTGACATAAGCTAAACTGTGGTCTTGTAACTTCTCCATCATAAATGTATTAAACAACATTTCTTTCTAATATGGATCCCTCAGGCACCCCCGCTAACCCTTTGCTAATTTTAGGTTGAAAGGAATGGTTAACCTTAAGGAAAATAACAAGATCTTCTACTCTTTCCATTTACTAAGTAACTGTCTGAAAAAACACACTAAAACTTACATTTAAGAGAAGAATCATGTTCTTCAAGGTCCTCATATGCTAGCTTTTCTGGCTTTGAAGAGTCATTGAAGTCCTGATTATCAGCTTGCTGTTTACAAAGACTGAAAGCGAGGAGGAAAGAGAACATGAATTTAAAGGTTTAATAACCAAAATGTCAAGTACATCAGCAGGTAGAGATCTGACAATAGTCTGTAGTACCCAAGAGTAGCTAAGGACTAAGAAAATTGTAAAACCACATAAGCAAACTAACGTATAAATCAGAATTTACATGATATGGAATTGAAACACAGTAACCTGATCCTGACCACCTTCAGGTCTGAATGCAAGACTCACCTTCTCCTGCAGTTTCTCCCCAAAACATACCCACAACTGGGAAGAGTGAATACTTATAAAAAGAAATATATTCTATGAAATGGAGTTAAAACAGAAAGAGAAAACAAAAAACAAGAAAGAAGGCAAAAAGGATCACATGTACAAAGGGAAGAGAGATTAAGAATTATGTCCTTTTTAACCACGTTCAGTTTTGTAGTTTAATTTGTGTCCAGTGCTTTGATGCCATGACAGTCCGTTAGATTAAATAGCCTTTCATCCCTAAAACCACAGTTTACAATCCTTCTTTGGCCCTATGGAAAATGAGTTTTGTGGTCTCTTTCTAACTACTACTGCGGATTTGTCTATAACAGCATCAAGCATAATACACCCAGTGTAACACAGCTAGCAATCTCTTATCCATAAAGCAGAAAGAGAGCTGCAGGTCACAAATGAGATGCCCAGTAGCCCTGTATACAGAAGCTTGTCAGCACCTGGCTATATTAGTCTTTCACTATAAGCATAAACAATACAAAATATTTATGAAAAAAGTCTAAGTTTTTTATGGGGTGAAAAGAAAGAGGAGGATACATAAAATGAATAGGCTCTAAGAGACAGACTTCAATTTACATTAATTAAGACTAAGGGAAAAATACTCCTAGCAATGTTGGTTCTGCCATTTCAGAAGAATGGCTCAATATACAGAAAAACCCTGTAAATTACACACACCATCTACTGCTGTCAAATATAAGCGGTATTTCTAGAACTATATAATCTAGATAATTTATAATCTGTACATAATCTATATTAAATGGTTTTTAATCTCTCTTTTACAGAAATTTGTGTCTGTTGGGTATATATTATCTATCTAGCGTCCAAGGACGCATGCCACTTTGTATAATATTGCTAGTGTTAAATCCTGTAGAAGTGTTAGGAAGGCCTGGAATTCAATGGGACAAATTCAGTAAACAAAAGTAAGAGAGGTTTGTCTCATTAAGGCAATTATTTGCATGAATCTCAAATGGTTTTCACAAACCATTTTATCACAGCAATGTTGATAAATATGGACCGTATCCAGTATCAACAACATTCCATAAAACAGCTAATGGTGTCTTGGTCAACAATAAATGACTAGAAAAATGAATTAAAAAACTATTATTCTGAGAAACAAAGATTTTTATAAAGGTGCTTTATGGACAGTAAAACTGGCATCCTAACCTATAATCAAAATATTCAATCCTTAAATTTTTTTAGGAATCTGCATTAAAACTGTAGTAATCAAACCTATATCTAGGATTAACAAGAGATGGAAAGTCTGATGTAAAGGGCTCATCCCTGTCCTTCTGATGATACCAATGTATTTTGGGAATAACAGTAAAGAAAACAATACTTCCCACAGAGCCAGAATACTAGAAATGAAGTCATTTCTCCTAAGGGAAAGAAGGGGTTGCTTTTATTCACTTTCTTCCCACCCACTCGCAGGTTGGGGCAGGAAACTAACTGTAATGAGGGTGTCTTGAGAAAAGACATTTTTCCCAGTGATGGATGAGGTGTTTTCTTTTGATTGTCTCCCTGGTGTTCTGGACAGAATATGGACCACTCTACTGGAAATACACCAGATTTTCCACACTTGGGAGGCAGTATCATGGTTTCTTTTATTTTTTTTGTTAGCTCCCCTTCCCTCTTTCTAACCTTACCCAGCTACATAAATACTATCAACTATGACACATTTACCTGATGCTCAGACTGAACAGCTGGAAAAAGCCCACACATTTATTGCTTTGTATTTCAGAAAAATAAATTGTTGCATGCTATAGCCATCTTCTCTTACAATATTCTCATAGAGATTAACAGCACTTAACCCTCAACAGGTGAGGTCTATCATGTTAGTACCAAATGGGACATCAGTGAGATAGTGAGGACAGCATGAATAAATGGAATAGAATAGTGGAAGGTGAGACACTATAGAGGCACCAGGATAAACATGCACCTACCTAAGAGGCCCCAGAAAATTCCAACCAGTTCTTTTCAAGACCAAGAATCAAAAGCTCCCTAATCTCTAACTGCATAAAATACAAAAGTAAATTATCTATATCTCATTTTAAATGAGTACAAATGAGTTGATTTTTCAAATAAATAAATAAATAAATAAGGACAAATGAGCACTTGCTATGGCAACCTGAGCCTACAACTGCCTATCCTTCAACAGCAGAATTGGAGGATAGGTGGGTGGGTGAGTGACAATCCTGCAACTGATCTTTCAGAAAAACAGAATTACAAGATAAGTAATTGTCCCTTTTTTCACACCATCTATGCAGAACTCTCATTCTTTGAATGTAACTGACCTCCAGGAGATTTCTCAAGATGGTGTCAGGAGCAGGGCCTGATTTAGGGGCAGGTGACCACCTGGGATACTGGGCTTGGGGGGGCATCGGGCTCGGGGTGCTGTTTTTGTTGTTAGCAACACTTTTCCTAACGTGTGGATAGGTTTGAGGATTCTGCTCAGGCTGCTTGTCGCGAGTGGTGAGCGCAGGTTTTTGAAGCTCAGGCTCATTAAAACATATCTTTGATGGATGATGGCTGACGAGAAACTGATGTCACTTTATCGCTTGAAAATGCCATTGGTCAGTCTTTGGATCTCTCTGGTGGTGTGCTTCAGTTCACCAGGGCAAAGGTGAGAAAAGTGACCCTTTGAACTAAAGGACTAGGGTTAACATTCTAAGGCAGACACCTACTGTAACACTATTTAATACTGGTCCACCCAACGTTGGTGCACAGTTCAATTTCTTGACGTTAGTACATTTCAGTTATTCTTAAAATTAAAAAGTTTCTGTAAGCTTAGAGGAAACCAATTTTTTGTATTTGCTTATACATTGAATGAATAAATACAGATTTACAGATCCTAGTGTGCAAATTTATTGTTTTAAATTGATTGATTAAATTTAATGGATAAATCACACATGCTAGTCGTGAAATGGGCTACAAATGAAATAAAAAGTAAGGTATTCAAAAGTTTAACAAATGCGGGGGAGAGTGCCACCAAAGACGCTCCTTGCCTGGGGCGCTATTTGGTCTAGGGTCAGCCCTGGTCAGGAAGGCCTTGGTGCTGTTCTGTTTTTCTTCTGTGGTGGGCAAAGAGGAAAGAATGAGAGATGCAGTGGGGATGTTTTGTTACTTTTTAAACTAAAAAATGTGCCCATTTACACAAAAGGATCTAGACTGTTCAAAGTGGTACCAGATGATAGAACAAGGACTAATGGTCTCAAGTTGTAGTGGGGGAGGTTTAGGTTGGATATTACAAAAAGAAAATTCACTAGGAGGGTGGTGAAGCACTAGAATGGGTTACCTAGGGAGGTGGTGGAATCTCCTTCCTTAGAGGTTTTTAAGGTCAGGCTTGACAAAGCCCTGGCTGGGATGATTTAGCTGGGGATTGGTCCTGCTTTGAGCAGGGGGTTGGACTAGATGACCTCCGGAGGTCCCTTCCAACCCTGATATTCTATGATTCTATGAAAAGACAGCCTGAAAAGACAAAACAACAAACTCCAAAACCCACTAGGTGATGTGAGTTTGGGCTCCCCTACTTCAGAAACAAGTTCTGTTGGCAAGAGGAAACAAAGGGAAGCTCATCCTCAGAAAATGAATGTTAACACTGAAACTTTGGGGAGTATGACATGAGGCTACCTGCCTTGCCTAACATCCTGACTGAAAATCATATTGAAGCAGGCAGTGGAAGTTGCTATTCCTCAGCTAGCACAAGCCAAACAATAGGGCAGCCAGGTCACAGCTGTGAAAAAAACAGCAACACAACCTTTCAGACATAGTCTTCATGGAGATATAGCATCGCTCAAGGAATCAGTGTGGACTTTCTCAGGTCTTGTGTGTGCTCCAGATAGAATCTCAAAGACTTTTAAACTTCAACTTTATGCAAAGGGCCTTCCTAGTATGGAAAGGATGAGAAACTCTACCGTCACTTTGGATGGAAACTACTGATGAGTTTATAACACAACCTGGCCCTTGTAAAATATGGTGTAAGATGGGCCCGTCACTAAAACCTGAAGCTCATTCACTCTATGAGCTAATGTTCCCTTCATCAGGAAATGATCCCCCCCATACAAAACTTGTGATTAAGTGAGCCAGTAGGCACTTTTGTCAGCTTTGTCAGGAACACATTAATATCTCGTGATACAGAGGGTTTATTAAATGTAGTCTCAAAATTGTCACGCCCCACATGAAGCTGATGACAATGAGCTGTAAAAAAACAATGTACCTTCAGCCAGTTCATGATAGGCTGAAAATAGCTGAGCTAAATTAAATTCTTAGAATTAGTCTTTAAATTAGACTCTGACAAGTAAAGAGGGTAATAAAGGCATTTAAGCAGGGCTAGAAAGGGTCCATGGTCCCACATATGCATTACACTACTGTCAAGGTTCCTCCCCCACTCTGAACTCTAGGGTACAGATGTGGGGACCTGCATGAAAAACCTCCTAAGCTTATCTTTACCAGCTTAGGTCAAAACTTCCCCAAGGTACAAAATATTCCACCCGTCGTCCTTGGATTGGCCGCTACCACCACCAAACTAATACTGGTTACTGGGGAAGAGCTGTTTGGACGCGTCTTTCCCCCCAAAATACTTCCCAAAACCTTGCACCCCACTTCCTGGACAAGGTTTGGTAATAAGCCTCACCAATTTGCCTAGGTGACTACAGACCCAGACCCTTGGATCTTAAGAACAATGAACAATCCTCCCAACACTTGCATCCCCCCTTTCCTGGGAAATGTTGGATAAAAAGCCTCACCAATTTGCATAGGTGACCACAGACCCAAACCCTTGGATCTGAGAACAATGAAAAAGCGTTCAGTTTTCTTACAAGAAGACTTTTAATAAAAATAGAAGTAAATAGAAATAAAGAAATCCCCCCTGTAAAATCAGGATGGTAGATATCTTACAGGGTAATTAGATTCAAAAACATAGAGAACCCCTCTAGGCAAAACCTTAAGTTACAAAAAAGATACACAGACAGAAATAGTTATTCTATTCAGCACAATTCTTTTCTCAGCCATTTAAAGAAATCATAATCTAACACATACCTTGCTAGATTACTTACTAAAAGTTCTAAGACTCCATTCCTGGTCTATCCCTGGCAGAAACCAGCATATAGACAGACACACAGACCCTTTGTTTCTCTCCCTCCTCCCAGCTTTTGAAAGTATCTTGTCTAACCCTTTACAGGTGAGAGGAGCTTTCCCCTGGCCAGGAGAGATTTCAAAGGGGTTTACCTTTCCCTTTATATTTATGACAACTACAAACCTTATCTTGGTTGAACAAAGCACATAATCTAGTTTCTCTATGTGATCAGCTCTGACCAGACTCATGGTCTAATGCTAGTCCAGAGCAGCTTTGTGAGCCATATTCATGTCAGTCAGCATGATGCTGAAGTTCATTAGACTCTTGTTGTTCCTAAGCTTGAACAGAACCTGTTCCTCAAGAGGTTCTGACTTTAAAAAAAAGTCTGGTCTGAGGGTGGAGACGAGATCCTTTTCAGCCAGGACTTCCTGACTCTGAAAGAAGAAAACTAGCAGCTACCTTTGTTGAATGCCAAAGATCAACTTCTAGAGCCTGCCTTCAGAGGAAAAAACTAAATTATCTTTCCTGAAAGCAGAGATAACTGATGGGAGAGTATCACCCATTTATTTAAGTATCTGGTGCGTAAGGGACAAAGTCTAGAGCAGGGATTCTCAAACTTCATTGCTCTGTAACCCCCTTCTGACAAAAAAAATTACTACACGACCCCGGGGGGAGGGGGGGTAGAGACACCAAAGCCAGAGCCCGCCAAAGCTCAACCCCACCACCTCAAGCAAGGGGCCAAAGCCAAAGGCTTCAGCCCCAGGTGAGTAAAACTGAAACCTGAGCCCCACCACCCAGGGCTGGAGCCCTTGGGCTTTGGCTTCCGCCATGGGCGGTGGGGCTCAGCTTCAGCTTCCTCCCCACCACGTCTAATGCCACCCCTGGTGACCCCATTAAAATGGGGTCATGACCCACTTTGGGGTCCCAAACCACAGTTTGAGAACCACTGGTCTAGTGTCTAAATATAACAACCCTACCTGAGCTCCCCCTGATGGATGCTCACCAGGTTGCTGTGTTTGGATCTAACTACTAGATCCCACATGCTCTTAGGCTGGCTGGGTCGTCCCTGTCTCAAGCTCTAGACTTCCAGAAACACTCTCAGGGTACAGACTGTCTATCTAGTACCACATCCTAAGAGAGGAGACTCCATGGTCCAACTGCGTTGCGCCTGAAACTAGTCCTGGCCCTCCCAGCACCTGTTCCATGGACTCTCCAGAGTTCCAATGAAGCTGTGGACCCTCTGAATTACTGTTTCACTCTTTGGGGACTATGCATTAGTGAAAGCAGAGGACACTCAGACTCTGCAAAGGAATTTCTAAACACACACACACACTTCTATTCACAGACAAAGCACAAAAGATCTATGGAAAAGTAACAATTGTTCAGGCTACACAGGAAAGATTTTAAGCACATGTTTAAGTCCCTTTTACCTCCTGCTTAAGTGCTTTCCTGAAAAAAAGGTTGCTTTCCTGAACTGAGGCCTTTGTGCCAAATCCTAGTTCCACTGGAATCAGTGGCCATTTTGATATTGCCATGAATGACATTAGGATCTGTCCACAAAAACAAAAGAATGGCCCTACTGGGTAAGACCAAAGGTCCATCTAGCCCAGTATCCTGTCTTCCGACAGTGGACAGTGCCAGGCACCCCAGAGGGAATAAACAGAACAGGTAATCATCAAGTGATCCATCCCGTCGCTCATTCCCAGCTTCTGGCAAACAGAAGCTAGGGACACCATTCCTGTCCATCCTGGCTAATAGCCATTCATGAACCTATCTTCCATGAATTTATCTAGTTCTTTTTTGAACTCTGTTATGGTCTTGGCCTTCACAACATCCTCTGGCAAGAAGTTCCATAGGTTGACTGTGGGTTATGTGAAGAAATACTTCCTTTTATTTGTTTTAAACCTGCTGCCTATTAATTTCATTTGGTGACCCCTAGTTCTTGTGTTACGAGAAGGAATAAACATCACTTCCTTATCTACTTTCTCTACACCAGTCATGATTTTATAGACCACAACCATACCTCCCCTTAGCCGTCTCTTTTCCAAGCTGAAAAGGCCCAGTCTTATTAATCTCTCCTCATATGGAAGCCGTTCCATACCCTTAATAATTTTTGCTGACCTTTTCTGAACCTTTCCCAATTCCAATATATCTTTTTTGAGATGGGGCGACCACATCTGCACACAGTATTGAAGATGTGGGCATACCATGGATTTATATAGAGGCAACATGATATTTTCTGTCCTATTATCTATCCCTTTCTTAATTATTCCCAACATTCTGTACGCTTTTTTGACTGCCACTGCACACTGAGTGGATGTTTTCAGAGAACTATCCACAATGACTCCAAGATCTCTTTCTTGAGTGGTAACAGCTAATTTAGACCCCCATCATTTCATATGTATAGTTGGGATTATGCTTTCCAATGTGTATTACTTTGCATTTATCAACATTAAATTCCATCTGCCATTTTGTTACCCAGTCACCCAGTTTTGAGAGAGCCTTTTGTAGCTCTTCGCAGTCTGCCTGGGTCTTAACTATCTTTAGTAATTTTGTATCATCTGCAAATTTTGCCACCTCACTGTTTACCCCTTTTTCCAGATCATTTATGAATATATTGAATAGGACTGGTCCCAGTAAAGACCCCTGGGGGACACCACTATTTACCTCTCTCCATTCTGAAAACTGACCATTTATACCTACCCTTTGTTTCCTATCTTTTAACCAGTTACCAATCCATGAGAGCACCCTTCCCTCTTATCCTGTGGCAGCCTACTTTGCATAAGAGCCTTTGGTGAGGGACCTTGTCAAAGGCTTCTGAAAATCTAAGTACACTATATCCACTGGATCCCCTTGGTCCACATGCTTGTTGACCCCCTCAAAGAATTCTAGTAGATAGGTGAGGCATGATTTTCCCATACTTAGACTATTTAACAAACTTTTGTTAGCACACAAAACCCTCCGTCCAGTGTCCTCACTACTTAGTTTTGGCGAGTCCTTTCAAGGTCTCAGGACTCTCCACTCCTCTTCCTGGTCAATTTTGCCTTCTTGTTCTAGTTCTCTTCTATAATGGCTAGCAAGAGCCTCCCTTTCTAAAAATCCAACCCCTCCTGAACATCTTCAAGTCCCTTGTCAGGTGATTAATTGCTTATTTGCAACCCACCTGAAGTCCACATGGGGAAAACTGGTTCCCCTGGGCTTTAGTCATCTCATTGTTCTAGGAAGCATCCATCTGAATAGAAAACTATTCAGGTTAAGGATTCTGGATTGCTTTACGTTGTTAGTCCACTGCTAGATACAAGGATTTCTCCGAACACCTCCTGAGCATTTCAACTCAAGATGGAGGCTGCAGTGCCAAAGTAAAGGCACAGTACAGTCTTACAATGAAAATGACATTCCCAAAACAGAATGTAGTTTGCAGACTAATACAGACAAATAATAATCTGCCACATTAAATAAATACCTGATTCCCTTTAAGCCACCAGAGATACAGTCACAAAGATAAGGCTCAAGACTGACTGAAATTCAGAAGACAACAAAACAAGAATATCTAGTCCCTGAACAAGGGCTACTGCAGAAAAAACTGCAACTATTTTAGTTAGAAACATTGGACAGTTTCCAGGGTAACTTCTTCACTAACGGCTATTGCTCAGAGAGGAATTGGCTGGAATGTTCTGGAATACCTATGAAGTACCTGAAGTTAGATGCAGTAGGGCAGAGCCCTTTGGCCAGCCTATAGACGTGAAAGTCAAAAAACTTAAAGAGCTAAGGGGAGTTTACATATGGCTTGCACTGGAGGCATGAGTCACAAGTGTGAGAATCCTGAACACCTGATATCTTTAGAAAAGCTCTAATCATACATAGTGAAAGACGGCTGTAATCATGTGACCTAACCGATAAGGTATAAGTTAAAATGATCTTTCAGATAGTGTACAATATTTACCTCAATTTTTGTCCATGACTGGTTGGAGAGGAAGGAGCCGATTCAGAAGATGAAAGATGGCCTGCCCTCAAAATAGGAGAAAGAGGCTGGTCGACACTCTGTTGGGAAGAGACTAGGAACGACTCACTGCTATCTGTAAGGCAAAAGGTAGCAATTTATATCAACCAATTTCTTGTACTGTTCCTGCATATCCTAATTATAGTCAGTGCCGGTAGCACTCCCTATTGTTAGGGTTTCCTGACAGTTCCCATTAAAGACACTGTTTTCAGTTGCTTATAACTTTGTCAAACTTGAATCATTTGGACTATTTCCATAACATGCCTCTGGCTGAATTTTTTTGAAAAATTTCTGCCAAAACAGTTCAGCTGTTTCCAAAAATGAGGCTAGGGGAAAAATATGTTGTTTTGCCCATGTTAAAGAAAAACTGATGACTCTGAAATCTGAAAGAGGATGGCCTTTGCGTCAAGGATGCGTCTTTCACCATTCTTGTTAAAATCTACCCAAATTTAGTCAAGTTAAAAGCCAATGGGAAAAAAGATCAGTTTGCACATGCTCAGTAGATACTTTGATTTTAGCTGCTAAAAATCTCTGAAAATTTTGTCCTCACGGAGCATACTCAAGCCTCTCACAGCTCTCAATGCCAACTGGAAGGCACATGCACCTTCCCACCAGAGCAACTGAGCCTATGCTATCCAACCCAGGGCTACAAGAGCAGAGCCAGGCCTTCCTTTCAATGGCTGCTTCCAGCTGCATCAGACCCGGGTGCGGCCAGGCACTGAAAAAGAGAGTAGGGATCCTTCCTCTTCAATGCTCCTAATGATCCCCCTGGTGGTACACAGAAACCATGATTGATGAAGCCATGTGATCTGAATGAAGAAGCGACAAAAGCCAGGGAGCGGGCCAAGAAGCCTGTTAAGACTGAAACTGGTAGTGGGGGCGAAAGGGGAGAGAAAAACTGGGACTGATGGGTGGATGAGACTGAGAACCATGGGGTGGGAGAGGCTGGGACTGGGAGTCAGTAAGGGAAATGGGGAGGAGGGAAGAGAGGTCAGGGGACAGAACACAGATCAGATGAGGAGGTGGGGGAAGGAGGGGAGACTGGGGCTGACTGGCAATGAGACTGTACTACAGTCACTGTGCGGGAGAACTGGGGTGGAGGGCAGACAGATCTAACAAGGAGCTGGGACACCAGAGGAGAACTGGGAAGACTGGGACAAAGCACTGGCATGAGGACACAGACTGGAAGAGGAGCCTGGGGAGGGAGACTAGAACTGGTAACTAGTTGAGGAGGAAAAGGAGCAACTGGGACAGTCTGGGTGAGAAAACAGACCGGCTGGCTGGTCAAGGAGAATAGTACGGGGTGTGGTAAAGAGGAGAGACTTGGGTGAGTAGGCAGATTGGGACTCTGTCAGTGAATTCAGAGGGGGGAGACTGGGATTAGCTCGGCAAGGAAGCTTGGATAAGAAACCTGAAGAGTGGAGACTGGGAATGGGCAGGCAAGGAGAATAGGATTGGGACAAGGAGTGAGAGTTGTGGAAAAGATAGGACTGGGATAGGTTGGAATGGGTCAAACCTAGGGTGGATGAATGGGTATTAGACTGTGCCCATTAGAGAAGACTCCCCTCCAGAATCTGGAATGGAAGAAACAGTTACTTACTTTAACTGCGGTTCTTCAAGATGTGATGCAGATGTGTACTCCACTTCGGTGCATACATACCCAACGCTCCGGAGCTGAAGAACTTTGCCTACCAGTACCCTTAGGAGATGGTGCTCACTCCTCATGCTCATAGCTCTTCCCCTGGCTATATGAGGCAGCAAAGCCTCAACCCTCTGCCTCCTCAGGTCCTTTGTACCAAACATCCAGAGATCAGACTCTGATGCAGAGGGAACAGACAATGGGCTGTGGAATACACATCTGCATCACATTTCAAAGAACCACAGTTACTTATTATAACTGTTTCTTCTTCAAGTAGATGCAGCAGTGTATTCCAATTCGGTGACTCACAAGCAGCACCCACTCCAGCAGGCGCGGCTTGGATACTACCTTAAAAAGCACTGCAAGACTGCCCTACCAAAACTTGCATCCACCCTGGAAGGTGCAGTAATGGCATAATGGTTCGTGAAGATATGTATGGATGACCACATAGCAGCCATGCAAATGTCAATATCGAGACATCCCTGAGGAACCCTACTGACCTTGCTTGTGTTCGCATAGCATGAGCTCGTACCTGCTGAAGAGGCGTAGATCTGCGCGATCTGCATGTGACACAAACAGGTGAAGTGAAGCATGAAACAGTTTAGTCCTGTCCAGATAGAAGGCTAGACATTGCTTGACACCTAATGTATGGAAATGATGCTCCTCCAGAGATGAATGTGGCTTAGGAAAGAACACAGGTAAACATACCACCTAGTTCAAATGAAACTGAGAAACCACTTTAGAAAATATTTTTGGGTATAGTCATAAAGTCACTTTGTCCTTAGAGAACTGTTTATAATGAGTCTCTGCCACGAGAGCCTGCAACTCTCAGACTCTCCTTTCCTTGTGGAAGTTATCGCTACCAGGAACGCAATCTTCTGACACAAAAGTGGAAAGGAACAAGATGCCCGAGGCTTGAATAGACGTCCCATTAAAGCCACTAGGATTGTGTTAAGGTCCCATAGAGCAACCAGCTCCCAGATCAGAGGATGGAGACGATGACCCAGAGGATACTTGTCTTCAGGGACCACGCATAACTCAGGGAAAAAATCCTGCTGAGATGCTCCGCAAGATGATTCTGAACCCTAGGCAAGAGATTGGCTATCGGAGTGATACTCTCCTCGATGCAGAAATGCCACAACCTGATTGCCTCTTGGCAGAGCATCCTGGAGTGTGCTCCCCCTTCCTGTTCACATAATAAATTATGGTGTGGTATTGTCAGTAAGTATGTGAAACACTGACACATACTGATACAGTCCAGAAAAGCATGACATGCATTGTAGATGGCACGAAGCTCCAGCACATCGATATGCAGTTAGGACTCCTGTTCTGACCACAGACCTTGAACTTTCGGAGATCCCAAATATGCTCCTGAGCACATCAGGGAGGCATCAGTGACAACAGACCTGATTGGTAGGGCTGAACGATGGGAAGCGTCCACCACTGCAAGTTCAGGACCAATGGAGGAAGAGAGACCAATCTGTCCAAGAAGTGAAGAGTCAGATGGTAAACTGTCCTGAGCCACATCTGAAGGGGGCAAAGACACAACCTTGCAAACTGAACCACCTGCGTACATGCAGACCAAGAATCTCAGGTACAGCCAAACTGTGGAGGAAGGCTGACTCTGAAGACGGAGGCTAAAGTGATGAATCGCCTGAAAACAGTCGGTCAGCAAAAATGCTCTCAAACTTGTAGAGTCTATTAAGGCCAGATTGAACTTGATTTTCTGCGTGGGAATCAAAGTTGACTTTCTGGTACTTAGGATGAGACCCAGACAGTTGAGCAAGCACAATGAAAAATGACGTGAGAAAGGACTTCCTCTGTGGACCTGCCCTTAAGTGACCAGTCTTCCAGTGCACGGGAATATGTGGATTCTTTTATTCCTGAGGCATGGGTGACAGCATACATTTGGTAAAAACAAAACGGCAAAAGACAGGATAAATGTGAGCACAGTGTACTGAAAACGGCGTTTCACTATGACGAATTGAAGGAATTTTCTGTGGTTCGGCAAAATCGCCACGTGAAAGTAGGCAGCCTGAAGATCTAGAGCTACTAACCAGTTGTTCTGAAATAATGCGGGGCAGACAGTCAATAGCGTGACCATTCAGAACCTCACTTATGTGATATATATGTTGAGGCCACAAAGATTGAGAATGGGTCTTACCCCTCCCTTGGGCTTGGGCACCAGAAAGTGCTGGAAATAGAAGCCCTTATCCCAATGTTCTAGTAGAACCTCGTCCATCACTTCCAAAGCCAGTAGAAAGCGAACCTGGTCAAGGAGCAGTAACTCGTGACAAGGGTCTCTGAAGAGGGACGGGGAGGAGGGAAGGAAAGGAACTGGATGACATAGCCTAATCTGACAGTGCTTAGGACCCAGCTGTCAGTGGTGATCAAGCCCCAAGCATTGTGAAAGTGAGTTTGCCTGTCCCCAAACAGAGGGGATGGGGAGAAGGGAGTGACAACTGGTACACTGCTCCAGATGAAGGAGTCAAAATGACTGCTTGGGGGGCACCGGGAGAAGGCATGTTGACTGGTCAAACCCAGGACCTGAATGCCTCCTCCTCTGGGACCTATGCCCTTCTGGGGTAATCCCGCTGTCTCGGAGGAAAGGCTGCCCAAATGCTCTCTGTGGACTATACTGCTGCTGCTGATGACCACCATAGTTGTGTCCCTGTACTGCCAGCATGTACACCCCAAGGACCACAGGGTAGCCCTCGAGTCCTTGAAGGAGTGCAGATTCTCATCCATCTTATCCAAGAAAAGAACTCGGCCGTTGAAAGACAAATCCTCTATCACCTGTTGCACATTCGGAGTAACGTCCAAATTCTGTAGCCAGGATGCCCTTCTCATAGTTACTGCTGACACCATCACTTTGGCCAAAGTACCTGTGTTATCCAGTGTGGACTGCAACGAAGTTTTAGCCACCAAGCAGCCTTCGGTGATAAATGTCTGAAATTCCTCCCTGGAGGATTCGGGCAGCTGGTCCACAAACTTAGACAAAGCCAGCCAGTTCACAAAGTCATATTTGGACGGCAATGCTGTAGTGAGAGATTCTTATGCTGAATGTTCTTGGATACCTGGCAGCACCCTGATAGAATCTTGCAGAAAAACCTCGGAAGGAGTTTAAATATCATAAAAACACATTTCTCTTAATTGGACGTAAAAAGAGTGGTGTCAATATCAGGACACTTTTGTTTGGATAAAACAGTAATTAGTTTTAAGATTAAGGCCTTAATTAAGTAGAAATTAATATTAGTTTAAATTTAGAAAATCCAACATAGCTGACCAAAATGGCAGATATAGGGATGATGTAGTGGAAGATTCCATCTCAAAGATACTGAATGACATAGTGGAAAATTTCATTAACTGATAGGGAATGACTCAGCAGAATCTTCTAGAACCTCCTAGAGTCCAAGATGGCATCATAAGGGGGCAGA